ATTCTGTCCCGGTTGCCCCTCTTCCAGGCCAGCTCTCTGCTATGGCCAGGGAGTGCAGTGGAGGATGGCCCAGGTGCTTGGGCCCTGCACCCCATGGGAGACCAGGAAAAGCACCTGGCTCCTAGCTCCTGCCATCGGATCAGCGCGGTGCGCCGGCTGCAGCGGCGGCCATTGGAGGGTGAACCAACGGCAAAGGAAGACCTTTCTCTCTCTGTCTCTCTCTCTCACTGTCCACTCTGCCTGTCAAAAAATAAATAAATAAATAAATAAATAAACCTTCAAAAAGGAAAGAAAGCCTCCGGAGTCTAAGGGCTAGTGTTGTAGCACAGTAGTGAAGCCTCCACCTACAATGGCCCCCGGCACTCATGTGGGGGCCCAGCAGTTGTGGCCATCTGGGGACTGAACTAGCAGATGGAAGATCTCTCTCTGTGTCTCTTTATTACATTGTCTTTAAATAAGTAAATATTAAAAGAAAAAGAAGAAAAAATATTATGAGTCTATTATTTCAGGATACCCTAATCCAGATAGTAGATAAGAAAGTTTTGTTTGCTCCTTATTTTAAGTTTGCAGATCTTCATTCAAAAACATTAGCTGAGTACTTCTCATTTTCTTATTTTTTTCCTTTCGCTTTCTTCTTCTTCTTTTAAGGTTTGTATGTTTATTTGAAGGGCAGAGTTACAGAGACAGAGATCTTCCATCCACTGATTCATTTCCCAAATGGCCGCAACAGCCAGAGCTGGGCCAGGCTGAACCTGGGAGCCAGAGCCTTCTCCAGGTTTCCCCCATGGATACAGGAGCCAAACACCTGGGCCATCTTCTGCTGCTCTCCCAGGCACATCAGCAGGGAGCTGGGTCAGAAGTAGAGCAGCTGGGACTCAAATCAGCACCCATGTGGGATGCTGGTGCTGCAGGTACAACTTAACCCACTCTGCCACAGTGCTGGCGCTGCTGAATACTTTTTATGTCCCAGAACATATTCCAGCATTTCATATATGTGGAACAAAACAGACAAGTCGCTGCTCTCACGGCTTTTGCATTGAACAAACAATTTGAGGTGCATCTTAAATTGAGGATAATGGTATCTACCTGATAGGGTTGTGAGAATTGAGTGCAATTCTGCACGTAAAGTACAAACTGCCTGACACAGAGGGCTCGATAACTGTGAGATAATTTTAGGTTTGCTCCAGTAGGAACTGAGTTAGCTACTGAAGATACAAAAATAAATACCACTGGTATTTCCTAAGTTCAATCTAGAAGAGAGACAGATATGGTGTCAACAGTGCCAGGGAGTGACTCAGCTCTGAAGCACTGAGATACAAGGTTCAGAGAGGCCATGTCTGCACTGTGTCTTGACGACTGGAAAGAATTTTGTTACGTGATACAGTAGTTATTCCAGGTTGTGCAGAAGATTAACAGTGAGCGAGGCGGGTGGGCAGCTGAGGCAGCAGCAGACTCCAGAAACAACAGAGGTCTCAGAACTGACTGAGAGGCTGTGATTCTCTTTTTGTGATTCGAGTTAGATTTTTATTCACTTGATCAGAAATTCTTCTGCTTATATGTATCAAGTACGGATTTGGTGGGTCTCCTATCTATTTTTTTCCCCAAATATTTATTTATTTGAAAGGCTGAGTTACAGAGAGGCAGGGGCAGAGGCAGAGAGAGATCTATCTTCCATCTGCAGGTTCACTCCCCAAATAGCTGTGGCCGGAGCTAGGCAGATCCGGAGCCAGGAGCCAGGAGCCAGGAGCTTCTTCCGGTCTCCCACGTGGGTGCAGGGGGCCCAAGCACTTGGGCCATCTTCTACTGCTTTCTCAGGCCCTAGCAGGGAGCTGGACTGTATGTGCAGCAGCCGGGACTCGAACCAGCACCCATATGGGATGCCAGCGCAGTAGGCTGTGGCTTTACCCACCACACTACAGCGCCAGCCCCCTATCTTTTTCTCCTCTAGGAACATCACAATTAAACAGACAATGCCATAGACTACTCTGCTGTTGCTTCGACTCTGCTGTCCATTATGGTAACTACACCTGCCTTGCCTTTCATGATTGAGTGCCACCACTTGGTTCAATCACTCCCATTGCCCTTGAATTTTCCAACTGAGCAACTGTGATTCCCATCGGGAGGTTGGACCTACAGGGAAGAGCAATCCCAGAACTCTTAGGGATGATGGGGCTTTCGTCACAATCCAAGTTCCCAAAGTACTGGTGAAATGTACGGATCCTCCCAGTGCAGATAATAAGATGTTAAGTGACAAACCCAAGCTAGCATTCCAATTTCCCTAAGTTTTTGAGTCCCTTTCTCTATGGGAAACCAAGGGAGATTTGGCATTTCCAACTCGCTCACGCTAAGCCATGTTTTGATCCATGTTTCAGCCTGCCACACTGGACCAATCAGGGTGGCCTAGTTTCCCTAATACAACGACAACCCCAGGGATTATAATTTTTTTTTCCCAAAGAAACCTTTTATTTAACAGGTACAAATTTCCTAAGGACAACTTTAGGAATAGAGTGATTCTTCCCACCATACCCACCCTCCCACCCCCACTCCCACCCCACCCCACCTCCTCCTCCCTTTCCCATTCCCAGACCTATTCTTCATTAAGGGGGAAAAAAAAAAAAAACAAACCAAAACTGTTCCTCAACAGTCAAGACGAGCGCTGTTCAAGTCACGGCTTCTCAAAGTGTCCATTTCACTTTTACAGCTTTCCTTTTAGGTGCTCTATTAGTTATCGCACATCAGGGAGAACACATGGTACTCGTCCCTTTGGTCCCTTTGGGACTGGCTTATTTCACTAAGTGTGATGTTTGCCAGGTTTATCCATTTTGTTGCAAATAACCGGATTTCATTTTTTTAACCACTGTGTAGTATTCCACAGAGTACATATCCCATAACAAGGATTATATTTTTTTCAAGACAGGCGGATCCTTTTACATTTAATCAAATGGCAAGCCCAGTGAGGCAAAGATGGTTCCCAAAGGCCAGTGTTGTGGCACAGTGGGTTAAACCAGCACTGTGATGCTGGCATTCCATGTCAGAGTGCTGGTTCAAGCCCTGGCTGCTCCATTTCTGAACTAGCTCTGTGCTAAGGTGCCTGGGAAAGTGGTGGAAGATGGCCCAAGTGCTTGAGCCCCTGCCACCCACTTGGGAGACCAGGATGGAGTTCTAGGCTTCTGGTTTCAGCCTAGCCCAGCCCTGGCCATTGCAGCCATTTGGGAGAATGAACCAGCCGATGGAAGATCTCTTTCTCTCCCTGCCTCTTCCTCTCTGTTACTCTACATTTCAAATTAATAAGTAAATATTTTATAAAAAGATGATTCCCAAATCAGTTTATTGTGATGCACAAAAGGGTAGAATAAGAAAAAAGAATATATGAAAAGATAGGCAAAAAAACAGCAAAACTGCTTGAATGAACACTTAATGCAAGTAACAAACCAAGCAGCGGGCATCCACATAGGAAACTTTTTTAACAGCCCAGGAAAAAGCACCACTTCAAGATGATGCTCAAGGCTGCTCCGTGCACTCAAGCTAACAGCAATGAAGTGGAGGGCCTGTCCACCCCCAGGAGAACCTGGGCAACAAATGAGTTTTGGAGTCAATTCTTGCAGAGAGCGAAATCATGGCAAGAGGTGTCTCAAAAGACAGTTGCAAGGCACTAGCATTTATTGCCGTAATATATTTTATGTAGCCTCCAGATGTCAACCACAGAGAAGTCTGGGTCCCAAACTATCCGACCTGCAGATCCGCACACAGTTGCCAAGGTGGCTGACTCAGCCATTGTGAAGTAATGGGCCTCCTTGCTAGCAGCCGGCTACTTGGCTCAGTTACAGCTTGTCACAAGAAAAAACTCAAAATGGAGTCAGTGCTGACAAAGCAGGTCCCTTTTAACCATAATTGAAATGCCAATTTACTTGGGCTCACAAGAATCACAATGCAACAACACACAGCACAACACAATCTGTTAAGCCTCCTTCCTAACTCCTTGAGCTGCAGCATAATCTTTGATCAGGTAGTCAGTGTCAGATTCTACCTGTTCCAATTCTATGCGCCATCATTATCCCCAGCTGTTAACATCCATTCCCACATGTTCCCCAGATTTCTGCTTGAATACATTAAAACACACACACACCCAGAACAACTCTTTAGGGGGTTAATGAACGGGTCACGCTCTGCACCTCATCTGGGACAGCTGTAGAAGGGAGGGTGCCGCGGGTGGGTCCCGAGGAGAATCTAGGCAGCTGCAACAGGGGTGGCCCCGACCCGCTCCTCAGATAACGCCAAGTTAAACCCCTCAGAGGTGGAAAGAAGACCACTGCGAGTGAGGACCCGGATAGGGAGGTCACCTTGGTTGACAAATAAGCCTCATCATCAGAATTTAGGAGCTCCATGTCCCCAGCCGCAACCCCTGGTTTCCCTGGCTGGAGGGGGTGAGGAGCAAATCTAAGGGAAGATTAAGCAGGTTGGAGGTACCAGACTGGTAAGCTTCCCGGGGCCCTTCCCAACAAAGCAGGCCTTTTCCTGTAGATATAATGTCCACTGATTTTTCCCAGCTAATAAACAACACATGTTTTTGCTCATTTATAAAAGCGTGAAAGACCTACTATCTTATTTAACAGCTGATGCTAGAAACCCAAAATAAGCCACAATAATCAGCTGAGCCTCGAGGAAGCGCCCAGGAAGCAGGACAAATAAGGGCGCCGAGAAAAGCCACAAGATGGAGGACAAGGGACAAAAAAAAAAAAGCACACACGGGTGGGGCTCAACCTAAGCCGCGAAATCAAGCTACATTTAAGCCCTTCGGCGCCATTGGCGTGGCGCTCACCCTTTTCCCTTTTCCATTGGCTACCTGCTCCGACACTGGGTCAAAACAGCCAATCGCCTTAGCGCTGTGGGTAAAGCCCGCCCTTCTCAGGAGAGCTGGAAAGAACCACAAGCGTCAGAGGCAGTCAGGCGCACGCGCGAGCGCGCGCTCCGCCGGTTAAAAGCGGATCCCGCCAGGAGGCGGTGTCGCGGTGCATGAATATTGATTACGCAGCGCCGCGCCGAGCGCCCGCCCCTCTCGACTGCCGACGCTCACTGCTCGCGTTCCGGCTCGCGATGGGGAAGAAGTCCCGGGCGGTACCCGGCCGCAGGCCTATCTTGCAGCTCTCTCCGCCAGGCCCTCGGAGCAGCACGCCGGGCCGGGATCCGGAGCCGGAGCCCGACACTGAGGCGGAGTCGGCCGCCGCGGCCCCTAGCCAGCCGGCCCCGGCGGCGGCGCCTGCGGCGACCACGGCGACGGCGACCACGCCGACCCCCGCGGTCACTGCCGCCACGGCGGCCCCCGAGGACTCCCCGTCTGAAGGTAGAGGTGCGCGAGGGGCCCCTGCTTCTCCTCGGGGCGCCCGAAACTCGAGCTTGGAGCTTGCGGCCTAGGCCTCTCGGGGCGATCGGCCGAGCCCGCGAGGGAGAGAACCCCGGGCGGGCGGGCGGGCGGGCGGGCGGGATCCGCTTCCGAGGCCCGCGAGGAGGGCGGCCGTGGGCCGGAGGGCGGCGGAAGAGGCCGGCCGGAGCCGTGCGTTCTCGGCCTGGGCCGTCTCGAGGCGCCATCTCGGATGCAGGGCTTGCCGCCGGGAACCTTTGAAATCCGACCAGGCCCGGGGCTCCCGTGGCCCCCTCAGAGTCCCGGGTGGGCTTTGAGAACGTGCGGGGTGCGTGTGAGTTTCCACGTGCCCGAGGCTTTCCCGCACGTCGTCGGCTGCTGCTTCTCTTCTGTTGAACTAGAAGAGAATACATCGTTCTTACTGATCAGCCAAAGCATAGGTAGCCTCAAATTGCACACGTTTCCCTTAAAAAAAAAAAAAAAAAAGGCCCTGGAGAAGTGGAGCTTGTGGGGTCCCCTTGGCGTGGTCCAGGGACTAAAGGGAAGCGGACAAGGCCAGGTCTAAGATGACGCTGGGTGGCTCCTGCAGAAAAATAGGCCATAGCAGTGCTTGCCTTAAAGGCCCGGTGACAGCCTGCGGGTTTATTGTGTGTGTTGATTTTGCAGTATTGCAGATGTTATTCTTCTATACGCTGTTCAGATCGCTCGTGTTGCTTGCTTTTTCCTCTCTTAAATATTTGAGGCAGTGAAAACATCCTGTCTTGACATTGGTGGAGATGTAGACCCGAGAGATCAGGTCGGAGAAGGATTCGTCACTTCCAGTTTTCTCTGGTCCACAGTCTGACTGCAGGTTTCTTTTGTGCGTTTTTAAATCCAGATGAACAGGAAGTGGTGGTGGAGGTTCCCAAGGTGGTTCAGAATCCTCCAAAACCAGTCATGACCACCAGACCCACAGCCGTTAAAGCAACAGGTAGAGATATTTTTTTTTTCTTCTGTAAATTGGGTTTGTACATAGAATGTTTTGTTGAATGCCCAGTGTTTTGTTTTGCCGGTTAAGTGGAATTTAAAATCTTTATGAGAAACTGTTGATAATGCACTAACCAGTGAGACATTTGTTCCTTTTTCTCTGTCCAAAATGCAGTACTTTTCCTTCTAATGCTATTTTGTAACTAGTATTTTGGCCTTTCCATTAGCTTGGTGCTCTGTTACTTTTTTGTAACATCCGTGTCTTGGTTGGTACCTAGCAAATGTTTGTGGAGCTGAAAATTGCTCTTATTAAATATTTGTATGTGCAAAGGAGTTTTTGCAACTGTGGTTTTGTAGAAAAACCTAGGTTCAAATTACCACTTTATATTCACTTTTTTTTTTTTTAAGGTTTATTTATTTATTTGAAAGGCAGAATTAGAGGCAGAGAGAGAGAGAGAGATCTTTTATCCGCTGGTTCACTCCTCAGATGGCCACAGCAGCATGAGCTGTGCTGAACCAAAGCCAGGATACAGGAGTTTCTTCTGGGTCTCCCATGCAGGTGCAGGGGCCCAAAAACTTGGACCATCCTCTACTGCTTTCTCAGGCCATAGCAGAGAGCTGGATTGGAAGTGGAGCAGCTGGGACTCGGACTGGCAGCCATATGGGATGCTGGCACTGCAGGCGGCAGCTTTACCCACTATGCCACAGTGCCAGCCCCTAGATTCACTCTTTAGACGTTAGGACAATCATTAATTGGCCTGAACTTCAATCATCTGTAAAATATATCCCTGCATTTTTTAAAGTCGTTAAAATGAATAATGTATGTAAAAATTTGAGATTTTAAGTGCCAGATGTGTTTTTTTATATTTTCTATTTTGAAAGATTAAAATATTTTGATATTAAATATTCTGTAGCTAACAGTAATTGTTTAGTTTGGAATACTTTCAGTACTATTTGACTGTAAAATAATAGATGTTTATTCCTCCCTCCCCACAATTTGCCACCTAAAAAATATCCAAGTATGGGTTAGAAAAGCTAAAACTTGGTAGTGAGAGAAATTTTAGAACCAGGTGATAACATTTTGTATTTGCAAAATTTTATTTGAATGTTCTGAGACTCACGTGAGATGCGTGAAATGTGGATGTTCCTAGGAGAAGTTACCTTGACTGTATGGACTCTGAACAGAAGTGTCTGTCTGCCTTCATCCTGCGCTACAGCAGCCTTACTAGTGCTGCTCACTTCTTACCCACATTGTAATGCAGTTGGTATAATGCAGAGGAAAAAGATTGTGAAAATTCGACAGAGAAACAAGTTTTCATTGTTTGTGTGGCTTTATGTACTATCAGAGTCCATATTAAGAAATTAGCTTTGGGGCTTGCATTGTGGCGTAGTGGGTAAAGCTGCCAGTATCCTACATGGGTACTGTGTTTAGTGCCAGCTGTTCCACTTCTGATCCAGCTCCCTGCTAATGGTCTGCAAAAAGCATCAGAAGGTGGCCCAAGTACTTAGACCGCTGCCACTGATGTGGGAGACCAGGATGGAGTTCCAGGGTCTTGGCTTCCATCTGGCCCAGCCCCAGCCATTGTGGCCATCTGGGAAGTGAACTAGTGGATGGGAGATCTCTCTCACTCTGTGTCTCCTCTCTCTAAACTCTGATTTTCAAATAAATAAATCTCTTTTAAAAATTAGTTTGATTCTAGTTAAAGGATTTGACTAGTCACTAGAAACACCGAAATTTTCCAGAAAAATGGGGTTTTTCAGGGATCAGGATGCTTTTGTAATATTCATACAGTAAAGCAAATGAGTCTGGTAGTTATAAGCTGAAAAAATACTGTGATATATGCATGTGAGCCTACTTGAGGGAATATTCAGAATAAGCTCTATTAAATCAATAGACTATGATAGTCACAGTATTTTAATATCTTCCAAAAAGGCACACTTGGAGCCTGCTCTCTGGCACAGCAGATTGAGCTGCCTGTGGCGCCGGCATCCACTATGAGCACCCATTGGAGTCCTGTCTGCTCTACTTCTGATCTAACTCCTCACCGATGCCCCTGGAAAAACAGTGGAAGATGGCCCGCGTGGGAGTGGGAGTGGGATGTCCTGGATGGAGTTTCAGGCTCCTGGCTTCTCTCCAGCCCTTTGGAGAGTGAACCAGCAGATGGAAGAGTACACTCTCTTGTCTCCCTCTCTCTGCAACCCTGCCTTTCAAACATATAAATATTTAAAAAGTCGTGACTCCATGGATGAGTATCAGGGGTCTGTGAATTCCCTGAAATTACATATCAATATGATTTTTTGGGGAGAGGGAATGTAGCTGTTCAGTTGTTACAAATTAATTTGGATGCTTGTTTGAAAGGCAGAGTGACAGAGATAACTTTCATCCACTGATTCACTTCTCAAATGCTCACAACAGCCAGGGCTGACTGAAGCCAAGAGTCAGGAACTCTGTCCGAGTTTCCCACCTCTGTGGCAGGAACCTAAGAACTTGGCCCATCATCTACTACCTTCTAGGCAAATTAGCTGGAATTGAGGTGGAACTCATCCCAGACACTCCTGGGATGCAGGCAAGTGGCAGCTTAACCTGCTGGGCTACAGTGCCTGCTCCTGCAGCTGGTCTATTAATTGTCTATGGTTTCTGTGACCCAACTGTTCAAATGATGTTATGAGGAAATAATAGTTACTAGAACTTGAAGGCATCGTTACTATTTGTTTTTTAAGATTTATTTATTTGGGGCCGGCGCCATGGCTCACTTGGTTAATCCTCCACCTGCAGCCCTGGCATCCCATATGGGTGCCGGGTTCTAGTTCCGGTTGCTTCTCTTCCAGTCCAGCTCTCTGCTGTGGCCCGGGAGTGCAGTGGAGGATGGCCCAAGTGCTTGGGCCCCTGCACCCACATGGGAGACCAGGAGGAGGCACCTGGCTCCTGGCCATTTGTGGGGTGAACCAGCGGAAGGAAGACCTTTCTCTCTGTCTCTCTCTCTCTCTCTCTCTCTCTCTGCCTGTCAAATAAAAAAAAATTAAAAAAAAAAAAAAAAGATTTGTTTATTTGAGAGGTAGAGCCACAGACAGAGGGAAAGACAGAAAGACAGAGAGAAAGGTCTTCCATCTGCTGGTTCACTCTCCAAATGGCTGCAATGGCTGTAGCTGAGCCGATCTGAAGCCAGAAACCAGGAACTTCCTCTTGGTCTTCTATGCGGGTGCAGGTGCCCAAGCTTTTGTGCCATCCTCCACTGCTTTCCCAGGCCGTTAGCAGAGAGCTGGATTGGAAGAGGAGCAGCTGTGATACAAACTGGCACCCATATGGGATACTAGCACCACAGGTGCAACCTTAGCCACTGTGCCACAGCGCTGGCCCCACCTGGAGCTTCTTCTGGGATGTTCCACATGGGTAGTAGGGCCCAAATCCTTGGACCATCTTTTCACTGCTTTCCCAGGCACATTAGCAGGGAGCCAGATTGGAAGTGGAGCATCTGAGATTCAAATTGGCTCCCACATGGGATGCTGGCATCGCATGTGGCAGCTTAACCCCTGTTTGAGAGCATTTGAGTTGTTTGCAGCTTTCATTTTGCAAAACAAGCTTACAGAATTTTTAAAAAGATTTATTTACTTACTTGAAAGGCATAGTTGCAGAGAGATAAAGGTCTTTCGTTTGATGGTTCACACCCTAGATGGCTGGGAGGTGGGCAGATCCAAAGCCAGGAGCCTGGAGCTTCTACCCAGTCTCCCATGTGGAGACAGGGACCCAAGGACTTGGGCCGTCCTCTACTGCTTTCTCAGGCCATAGCAGAGAGCTGGATTGGAAGTAGAGCAGCCGAAACTCAAACCTGCGCCCATATGGGATACCAGTACTGCGGACAGCAGCTTTACCTGTTACGCCAACATACTGGCCCCCTTACAGGATTTTTGTACAAAAAAATCTAGTTATTTCCTAGGGTTTTAGTCTAAAAAATGAGATTGTCTACTTAAAAGAAAGTTGAATTTTATACCTTGTGGTATTTGTTACCAGATTGTATTTAAGAAATTTAAGAAATATAGTGTCTCTAATGATATTAAGTATGTTAATTATTCACAAATATCAAATGTAATAATTTGTACTTGTTCTACTATTTTATGTATTAATTGAAAGAGACAGATCTCCCAAATGCCCACAGTAGTCAGGTTTGGGCCAGGCAAAAGCCAAGAGCTAGGAATCCAATTCCAGTCTTCCACGTGGGTGGTTGGGACCCAACTGTTAGAGACATCACCTACTGCTTCCCAGAGTGCACATTAATAGGAAACTGGAATTAGGAGTGGAACCCCTGAGATGGACACTTACTTTAATCCTTAACTTCTAAATGTTGTTTTGAGAGAGGTTGAATGGTTGAACATGTAATTTTTGGGAGGATATCAGCTTACAGATTTTTTTTTTTTTTTTTTGACAGGCAGAGTTAGAGAGAGAGACAGAGAGTTATAGACAGTGAGAGAGAGACAGAGAGAAAGGTCTTCCTTCCATTGGTTCACTCCTAATGGCCGCTACGGCCTGCGCTGCGCCAATCCGAAGCTAGGAGCCAGGTGCTTCCTCCTGGTCTCCCATGCAGGTACAGGGACCCAAGCACTTGGGCCATCCTTTGCTGCCCTCCCAGGCCACAACAGAGCTGGACTGGAAGAGGAGCAACCGGGACTAGTACCCGGCGCCCCAACTGGGACTAGAACTTGGGGTGCCAGCGCTGCAGGCGGAGGATTAGCCAAGTGAGCCACGGCGCTGACCTATTTTTTTCATTTTTTAAGGATTTATTTATTTATTTTTATGATGGAGTTGGAGAGAGAGAGGTATCTTCCATCTGTTGGTTTACTCCCCAGATGGCTGCAATGGCCAGGACTGGGCTAGATTGAAGTCAGTAACCAGCAGCTTCATCTGTATCTCTCACTTAGGTGCAGGGGCCCAGGCACTTGGGACATCTTCTGTTTTCCCAGGTGCATTAACAGGGAGCTGGATCAGAAGTGGAACAGCCTGGACTCAAACCAATGCCCTTATGGGATGCTGGCATTGCAAATGTTGACTTGACCTCATACCCAGAATGCTGGCCCCTATAGATTGATTTTATTAGTTTTAAATGTATTATATGATTAATGCCTCTGGTAATTTAGTGAATTTATTAATTTAGTTTATTTATTAATTTTGAGGTTATATTCTAGTCTGTAAAAGTATATGCAAACTCTTTGGCTAAAGAACTGAGATGACTGTTTAGTATAGTGACTAAGACACTGCTTGGGATGCCAGTGTGGGAGTGCCTGATTCAAGCTCTACTCTGATTCTAGCTTCCTGTTGATGCTCACCCTGGGAAGCAACAGGTGAGAACGCAAGTACTTGAGTCCCTGCCAGTCATGTGGGAGGTCCAGATTGAGTTCCAGGGTCCTGGCTTCTGCCTGGCCAGGCTCTGGGTATTGCAGGTATTTGGGGAGAGAACCAGCAGATGGAAGATCACTCCTTGTTTCTTTTCTCTGCATTTAGAAAAAACGTTTTTTTAAAAAATGAAATAAAGAACCATGTTACATTTTCTTTTAGATGCTTCCTAGGTTATTGTGGCTTTGTTGTTATGAACACTTTTTTTCTTTTTGTTTCTAGGTGGTCTTTGTTTACTTGGTGCTTATGCTGACAGTGATGATGATGAGAGTGATGTTTCTGAAAAACCAGCACCTTCCAAGGAAGCAAATGGAAACCAGTCGACTGATATTGATAGTACACTAGCTAACTTTCTAGCGGTTAGTGATGCTTTTGTGTGGGTTTTTAGTTGTTGAAGCCACTTTGGGACCTGGCTCTCTAGTGGTTAGCATACTTGGCTCCTTTCTCCTTCTTCTGTCCATCTCTCTTCTTCCATTCTTTACAGTTTCTGTCATCATTTTTTGTTTTTTGTTTTCTTAAAGATTTTATCTATTTGAAAGACAGTTACAGAGACAGAGTGAAATATTTTCCATCTGCTGGTTCAGTTCCCAAATGTCCACATTGGCTGGGGCTGGGCCAGACTGAAGCCAGGAGCTTCATCTGGGTCTCCCACATGGGTGCAGGGGCCCAAGCACTTGGGCTACCCTCTGCCGCTTGCCGCTTTCCCAGGCACATCTAACAGGGAGCAGGATCTGTGGCTTTTTTTTTTTTTTTTTTTTGGACAGGCAGAGTGGACAGTGAGAGAGAGAGACAGAGAGAAAGGTCTTCCTTTGCCGTTGGTTCACCCTCCAGTGGCCGCCGCGGCTGGCGCGCTGCGGCCAGCGCACTGCGTTGATCCAAAGGCAGGAGCCAGGTGCTTCTCCTGGTCTCCCATGGGGTGCAGGGCCCAAGCACTTGGGCCATCCTCCACTGCATTCCTGGGCCATAGCAAAGAGCTGGCCTGGAAGAGGGGCAACCGGGACAGAATCTGGCGCCCCGACTGTAACTAGAACCCGGTGTGCCGGCGCTGCAAGGCGGAGGATTAGCGTATTGAGCTGCGACGCCTGCGGGAGCAGGATCTAAAGCAGAGCAACCAGGACTTGAACCATTGCCCATATGGGATGTGGGCATTGCAAGCTGTACTTTAACCTGTTAAGCCACAATGCTGCCGTGCCCCCAAACCCCCTTTTTAAGAAAGAGAGTACACACATTCAGACTGGAGTGTAGGAAACCTCAGGAGAAAATGAGTGTGTGATTTTTCTTTTCTTTTTTTTTTTTTAGTTTGAAAGAGTTATATATAGAAAGGGAGAGACAGAGATCTTCATCTCCTGGTTCACTCCCTAGATGGCCACAATGGCCAGGGTTGGGCCAGGCTGAAGCCAGAAGCTTCTTCAGGTCTCCCATGTGGATAGCAGGGACGCAAGCACTTGGGCCATCTTCTGCTGCTTTTTCCAGGCCATTAGCAGAGAACAGGTTTGGAAGTGGAGCAGCTGGGACGCAAACCAGCGCCCATAGGGAATGCCTGCAATGCAGTTGGTGGTTTTAACTGCCATGCCATAACACTGGCTCCTCTCCTCTCATTCTCAGAGAAAAAAAGAGAGGGGTTTGTGAGAACTTGTATAATTGATTTGAGGAGCTGAGATTTGAGCTTGTTGAGTTGTGTTATATTTCTAGTGATTGCCATTTCTTCCATTTTTTGGTTTTGATGTAAGTAAGTAATGCATTCATCATTCTTCATTCCACAGGAGATTGATGCCATAACAGCTCCTCAGCCTGCAGCTCCTGTAGGAGCTTCTGCTCCACCTCCAACTCCACCTCGACCAGAACCAAAAGAAGCAACAACGTCTGCCCTTTCTTCTGCTACTTCAAATGGAACAGACTCAACCCAAACATCAGGGTGGCAGTATGATACTCAGTGTTCGCTGGCAGGAGGTAAGTAAGCCTGATCTTTTCTATTCTTTTTTTTTTTTTTTTTTAAAGAACTCTATGCAATCCTTAAAGGTGTTCTAGATATTGACATTCCTATAGATGAAGGTCCAAATGCTTTAGCCCCAGGGGACTCAAATGGTGACTGTAGAGGCCTAAGTCAGCCTGGGTGCTTGTACATGCTCTGAAGACCCTCTACAGCTAGTTCCCAGGTAATCTGACCTCTCAGCAAACCTCCAACTGTTAGCAGGAAAACATCTATTATATCTTAAGAAAGGATGAGTTGTAGATCCTAGGGCAATTGTAAGGAAGTAGTTAAATACCCCATTGTTTCCTCTTTTTATATATAGATGACATTCTACATGGGTATGGAACGTAACTCCTTAGTCAATAATTGAGTTGGTTAACTATTATCAGGTGTTCTTCAGTTTTTACTAAGATTGTTCTGTTTTCAGTGTGATTGATAAACACACGTGAATGTGTATTTCAACCTGACTTAACGCATATATTCACCCTGTAAGAAAAATATAAATAGGGGCCGGCACTGTGGTGTAGCAGGTAAAGCCGCCACCTGCAGTGCCCGCATCCCATACGGGCGCCAGTTCAAGTCCTGGCTGCTCTACTTCCGATCAAGTTCTTTGCTATGGCCTGGGAAAGTAGTGGAAGATGGCCCAGGTCCTTGGGCTCCTGCACCCGCGTGGGAGACCTAGAAGAAGCTCCTGGCTCCTGGCTTTGGATTGGTGCAGCTCCAGCCTTTGTAGCCAACTGGGGAGTGAACCAGTGGATAGAAGATCTCTCTCTCTCTCTCTCTTCCTCTCCTGTGTAACTCTGACTTCCAAATAAATAAAAAAATCTTAAAAAAAAAAAAAAAGAAAAATATAAATAAAACCTGAAATCAAACTCAGGCTTGTGGAACAGGCAACTGACTGATTGTTTCTGGGTCAGATTGGGGTTCAGCGCTCTAGCGTAGTAGGTTAATTCTCTGCCTGTGGTGCTGGCATTCTATATAAGCATGGGTTCAGGTCCCGGCTGTTCCACTTCCCATCCAGCGCTATGCTAATGGCCTGGGAAAGCCATTAAAAACAAAAATCCTCAGTTTCATTAGATAAACAAACTTCAACTTTTTTTTTTAAATTTATTTTATTTATTTGACAGGTAGAATTAATAGACAGTGAGAGAGAGAGAGACAGAGAGAAAGGTCTTCCTTCCGTTGGTTTGCTCCCCAAATGGCTGCTATGGCTGGTGCACTGCACTGATCTGAAGCCAGGAGCCAGGTGCTTCCTCCTAGTCTCCCATGCAGGTGCAGGGGCCCAAGAACTTGGGCCACCCTTTACTGCCTTCCCAGGCCACAGCAGAGAGCTGGACTGGAAGAGGGCCAGCCGGAACTAGAACCTGGCTTTATATGGATGCTGGCACCACAGGCAGAGGATTAGGCAAGTGAGCCACAGCACCGGCCTCAACTTTTTTTTTTAAGATTTTATTTATTTATTTGAGAGGTAGAGTTATACAGCCAGTGAGAGGGAGAGACAAAGAGAAAGGTCTTTCAAATGACCACAGCGGCCAGAGCTGATCTGATCTGATCTGAGCTGATCGGGAGCCAGAAGCTTCTCCCAGGTTTCCCACATGGGCACAGGGGCCCAAGCACTTGAACCATCTTCCACTCCTGTCTCAGGCTATAAGCAGAGAGCTGAATCGGCATAGGAGCAGCTAGGACCTAATCCAGCCCCCATATGGGATGCCAGCACCATAGTGCTGGCCCTAGCAGACTTTTTTTTAAAGCTGTATATGCAAAAATGATTTTTTTAAAAAGATTTATTTGTGTATTTGAAAGTTAGTGTTGCTCCCTTGCCCGTAAAGGAACAACACTGCTCCCAGCTGATCGGTCTTCAGTAGACTTTATTTAAACAGGATAGAAAAAGAAACCCTTGAGCAAGGGGAGCTCCGAAAGAAAGGGGAAGCTCCCGTACCATATCACAAACAGCTTATATAGTATAACATTGCAGAAGCATGTAAGCAAGCTTAGTCCATGCTACAGTCCATGCGGCGGTGCTCCAATCGGGTGCCTGATCACGCACAGTCCATGCGCTCCTTGTCCAACCATAAAGGTGATCACGCACCTTCATCCAATCAAGCTCCTGGTCATGTAGCAGGCAACTCGGGTGCTAGCAATAAGCTTCCACCTGGTGTTTTCTCAGCCTTGGTCAGTGGGAAAAGAAGCACGGGAAGCCCCAAGGCCATAGTTGTTTTGACTCTAGCCTGGGGTTATGAAACGGTCCCGATATCACAGCTCAACAGTTAGAGTTACAGAGAGGCAGAGACAGAAAGTGAGAGAGAGGTGTTCCATTCCTGGTTCATTCACAAATGATCGCAGTGGCCTGGGCTGGGCCATGGTGAAGCCAGGAGTTTCATCTGGGTCTCCCACATGGGTGTAGAGGCTGAAAGACTTGGGTCATTTGCTGCTGTTTTTCCAGGCGCATTATTAGCAGGGAGCTGGATCAGCAGCTGAGACACTTAACTGGTACCCATATGGAATGCAGGCAGTGGTGCTACAGCACCAGCCCCCACGAAGATGATTCTAAATATTTGTTAAGAAAATAAGTATTGCTGTTAGACCAGTGGTCTGTAGTTGGAATAAAGGAGGGTTGTCTGGAGATAACCTTTGGTTATCCCAGTGCAGGAGACATAGTTTCCATCTAGTGAGTACAGAGGCAGGGTGCTGTGCTGCTAAACACTACATAGACTCTCCTGCATAGCAGAGACCTCTCAGTCTAAAATGTTAATAGTACCAAATTTGAGAAACCATATGTTAGATTATTATAGCTTTAGAGCTGACTTGGGTTGTTAGAACTATGGAATAATTTGTCCTTCAAAATTGTTTTGTTTTCTTCTAGTCGGAATTGAGATGGGAGATTGGCAAGAAGTCTGGGATGAGAATACAGGATGCTATTATTATTGGAACACACAATCAAATGAAGTAACTTGGGAGTTACCTCAATATCTTGCCACCCAGGTACAGGGATTACAGCATTACCAACCCAGGTAAAAATAGATATGAAAAAGAATTCACTTAAAAGGAATTTGGAATTTTGGAAACTTTTGCTGAAAGTATATGCCTTGTATTTTTCTTGCTAAACTTTTTTTTTTTTTTTTTAAAGTTCTGTAACAGGTGCTGAAGCTAATTTTTCAGTGAATACAGAGATATATACTAAGGAGAAAACTGTTTCTGTTTCCAGTAGTAAAAGTGGACCAGTTGTAGCCAAGCGAGAAGTTAAAAAGGTTGGTGTTATTACTTATGTCATGTTTCAAATCTGATAATCTTTTTTTTTTTTTTTTTTTTTTTAGATCTGTTTGTTTGTTTATTTGAAAGTCAGAGTCACACATAGAGAGGAGAGACAGAGAGGGCTTCCATCCGCTGGTTCACTCCCAATTGGCCGCATCTGCCAGAGCTGCTCCTGGCTGGGAGCCAGGAGCTTTTTCCAGGTCTTCCATGCGAGTGCAGGGGCCCAAGGACTTGGGCCATTTTCTGCTGCTTTCCCAGGCCATAGCAGAGAGCTGTATTGGAATTGGAGCATCCGGGACTTGAACCAGCGCCTATATGGGATGCCAACACTGCAGGCGGCAGCCCCAAATCTAATAATTTTGAATGTTACCCTGACCACAGTTATAGAAGCCTTCTGTTAAAATTTTACAACACATGTGAGCTAGGAAAAATTTCATTTCTTTTTATTGTTGTTCAACTCTTTGTAAGCAGAGCATTAATTAAGCCTTTGATTATAATGGAAACTAAAATGTTTTTCTAAAAAAATAAGTTTTAAAAATAAAAAATATTTATTACTTGCTAACAGCCAGGGCTGCTGGGCCAGGCCAAAGCCAGGAGACAGGATCTCCATCCTGCTTTCCCAGATAAATTAGGGAGATATATTAGAAGTGGAGCAGTCAGGACTTGGTCTAGTACTCTGATATGGAATGTTGATGTTGCAAGTGGTAACTTAACTTGCTGTGCCACAATGCTGGCCTCTCCATTTCTTAAAGTTTGATTTAGTTCTCTGTTTATAGCAAATATCCAGTTTCATGGGTCTCTCAGATGTTTTGGATGTCACATAGCCTACTTCGGTCATCTTGAAGGATGTGGGAGCAGGCGGGGTACTAGGTCCCCATCTCTTCAGATGGAATTATTTTATTGGGACTGCACATAAAACATTTTAAATAAAATCTAATTCTCTAAATTAAAAGCTACTCAATAAGAAAAGTAAGTTACATATTTTTTAAAGATTTATTTATTTATTTGAGAGGTATTGTTACAGACAGGAGGATACACTGGTTCACTTCTCAAATGGCTGCAGTGGTTGGAACTGAGCCGATGTGAAGCCGGAAGGCAGGAGCTTCTTATGTGTCTCCCACGGGGGTGCACGGGCCCAAGCACTTAGGCCATCTTCTACTGCTTTCTCAGGCCTTCTGCAGAAAGCTGGATCAGAAGAGGATTAGCGGGGACATGAACTGGCACCCATATGGGATGCCGGTGCCACAGGCTGAGGCTTAACCTTCTATGCCACAGCACTGGCCCCAGTTGTATTCTTTAGAGAGAGTATATGTTGTTATACTTTATCTTGAATTAAAAATGTTTTTAATCAAAACGTACTTTTAGGGATGTTTGTTGTGGCAGAGTGAGTTAAGTCACTGCTGTTGATGCCTGTTTGCTGTATTGGAGTGCTTGGAATTGAGTCCTTACATCACTTCCAATACAGCTTTTTTTTTTTTTCTTCATTTGTTTGAAAGGCAGAGTAAGAGACAAATAGAGGGAGAGGTTGTCCATCCACTGGATCATTCCCCAGATGGCTGAAATGGCTGAGGCTAGTCTAGGCTGAAACTAGGAGCCCAAGTGCTTAGACCATCCTCTGCTGCTTTCACAGGCACCGTTTCTCTGGAAGTAGAGCAACCAGGATTTGAACTTACGAATCCTGTATGGGATGCTGGCATCACAGGCAGCCGATGAGCCCAATGTGCCACAACAGCTGCATACCCCCTCACCCAAATCCAGTTTCTTGCTGTTGCTCCTGGGAGGCAGCAGATGATGCCGCAGCTACTTGGGTCCCTGGCACCCAGGAGGAGTTTCTGTTTCTTTGCTTTAGCCAGACCCAACCCTGGCTGTTGGGCCTTTGGGTAGTGAGCCAGTGGGTGGATAATCTTTGTCTCTCCCTCCCTCATTATTCTATTTAAGATTAATCAAAAAATACTTTTAAATTATCTAAGCTTTATAACTGTACTAGGGAGGGAGAACAACTATTACCCCAGTGGGAGAAAGAGATACTTTAAATATAATTGCATATTGCACTTCAGAAGTGTTTTCATTTTCCTTTAAATCGCCTTCACAGCATACCTGTGAGGTTTTTTTTTTTATCATACTGAAGAGGAAGATGAAGATTTGTCATCAGTCATGTGTTGAGCTGAAAGAGTGCAGGTTTTGTTCTAAGCTGGCCCGTGCTTCCTATTGCTAGTCAGCCTTTTGATGTCCTAAGGAACAGGGAGAGGATACATTTGAGTCCCATCCACAGCTAAGCTCTGGGTCAGGCACTGTCTCTCTGAAGTGACAGTTTCGTGTATGTAATGGTACAGGCACACACAAACATTAACCTCATGGGAATAGGTGGTTTTAAGAGTATCTAGTAACAGAAAATATAGTTATTATCAACCATTGAATTTTTCTGGAGGTGAGATTTCTTTGAGAATTAAGTGAGACTAAATTATTTTTTTTTCGTCATAGGAAGTAAATGAAGGAGTTCAGGCTCTGTCAAATAGCGAGGAGGAGAAGAAAGGAGTGGCCGCATCACTGCTTGCTCCTTTATTGCCTGAAGGAATAAAAGAGGAAGAAGAGAGATGGAGAAGAAAAGTAATTTGTAAAGAAGTAGAGCCGGTTTCTGAAGTGAAAGAAACAAGTACCACGGTAGAAGAAGGAGCAACAGTAGTAAAGCCACAGGAAAGTATGTTGGACAATGTAGAAGACCCTGCTCAGGAGGATCTTTGCAGTGTTGTTCAATCCGGAGAGAGTGAGGAGGAAGAGGAGCAAGATACCCTTGAGCTGGAGCTGGTTTTGGAAAGGAAAAAGGTAAGTTTCTGAAGGTTTCAAGTATATTTTTATTTTCAGTGTTGTCATACTTGGGGATCATTATGTTCAACTTAAAACTTCTATTGGGATTTTGTTTATCTCTCTTTTTTTTTTTTAAAGATTTATTTATTTGTAAGGCAGAGTTACAGGGAGGCGGAGGCAGAGCAAGGGAGAAATATCTTCCATTTGCTGGTTCACTCCCCAAGTGGCCGCAACAGCTAGAGCTGGGTGGATCTAAAGCCAGGTGCCAGGAGCTTCTTCTGGGTCTCCTGTGCGGGTGCAGGAGCCCAAGCACTGGTGCCATCTTCCACTGCTTTCCCAGGCCGTCAGCAGGGAGCTGGATTGGAAATCGAGCAGCCAGGACTTGAACTGGGATGCTGGCACTGCAAGCAGTGGCTTTACCTATTACACCACAGTTCCAGCCCCTCCCTTTTTCTTTTTCTTTTTTTTTTAAAGATTTATTTTACTTATTTGAAAGACAGAGTTACAGAAAGAGGTAGAGACAGAGGATGGTCTTCCATCTGCTGGTTCACTCCCCAGATGGCTGCAACGGCTAGAGCTGTGCCTATCTGAAGCCAGGAGCTTCTTCCAGGTCTCTCACGCGGGTGCGGGGACCCAAGGACTTGGGCCATCTTCTACTGCCTTCCCAGGCCACAGCAGAGAGCTGGATTGGAAGAGGAGCAGCCGGGACTAGAACCAGCTCCCATATGGGATGCTGGCGCCTCATGCCAGGGCTTTAACCCACTGCACCACAGTGCCGGCCCCCCTCTCTTATTCTGTCATCTAGATGCATTTAAGCTACTGTAATAAAAACAAGATTGATTTTTTTTTTTTTTTTTTTTTTTTTTAAGGACAGAGTTAGAAGAGGCAGGCAGAGTCTTACATCCACTGGTTCATTCCCCAGATGGCCCCAGCAGTCACACTGGACCAGGCCAGAGCTAGGAGCTTCATCTGGATCTCCTGTGTGGGTGCGGGAGCCCAAGGAATTGGACCATCTTTTGCTTTCCCAGGAACATTAACAGGCTGATTGAGCTTCTTAACAATTAACCATAGTTTTAACTGAGTGATTAAAATGCAGATTGTTGAAGCCAGCGTAAAGGGTAAAGCTGCTACCTGGCTGGTGCCGCAGCCTCACTAGGCTAATCCTCCACCTTGCGGCGCCAGCACACCGGGTTCTAGTCCCAGTTGGTGCCGGATTCTGTCCCGGTTGCCCCTCTTCCAGGCCAGCCCTCTGCTGTGGCCAGGAAGTGCAGTGGAGGATGGCCCAAGTGCTTGGGCCCTGCACCCCATGGGAGACCAGGAAAAGCACCTGGCTCCTGCCATCGGATCAGCGCAATGCGCCGGCTGCAGCGCACCGGCCATGGCGGCCATTGGAGGTGAACCAACGGCAAAGGAAGACCTTTCTCTCTCTCTCTCTCTCTCTCTCTCTCTCTCTCTCTCTCACTGTCCACTCTGCCTAGCCAAAAAAAAAAAAAAAAAAAAAAAAAATTAAAAAATAAAAATAAAAAGCCGCTACCTGCAGTTTGCATCCCATATGACGCCGGCTTCTCCACTTCCGATCCAGCTCTCTGCAGTGGTCTGGGAAAGCAGTAGAAGATGGCCCATGGGCCCCTTCACCCCCGTGGGAGACATGGAAGAAGCTCTTGCCTTTGGGTTGGCCCAGCTCCGGCTGTTGTAGCCATTTGGGGCGTGAACCAATGGATGGAAGACTTTCTCTCTCTCTCTCTTCCTCTTCCTCTTCCTCTTTTTCTTTCTGTCTCTCTGCCTCTGCCTTTCAAATAAATGAATCTTTCAAAAAAAAAAAAAATGCAAGTTGACTTCCACTGGGTCACCCATGGCCTGGTTTCCATAGTTAAATGGGCCTTGTAAGATAGTAGAAGAATTGAGAGGAACCTATAATATAATGTGCCTTCCTTTTAAAAAACTGGCCAGATGGAAACTTTGTTGTGAAGTTGGTTGTTGCCTGTTTTCTGACTCTCCTGTAGACTGAAAAGGTGCTATTTTATAAAGCAAAATGTTAAGTGCTTTATAATCGTAATGCATCTTGAAAAATTTGAAGCCCTGGAAAAGAACTAGCTAGTAAAGCCTTTTCAGGGTGGATTTAGAAATAATTCCTTCCTTCCTAAGATTTATTTGACAGAATTACAGAGAGAGTTAAGAGAGAGAGAGAGCTTCCATCTGCTGGTTCACTTCCCAAATGGCCACAATGGCCAGGGCTGGGCCAGGTGGAAGTCAGGAGCCTGGACCTCTATTCCTGTCTGCTGTATAGACGGCAGGAGCCCAGACACTTGAACCATCTTCTGCTGCTTTCTTAGGGAAAGTAGCAGGGAGCTGGATTGGAAGTATAGTAGCAGAACTCACACCTGCACTCATGGGATGCTGGCATTGCTGGTGGTGGCTTAATCCGCTGTGGCACAGTGCCAGGCCCAAGGTTTGAAAATTTCTAGACACTGTCTGCTTCACATTGACATTTCTTTCTATAATCATTAATAAACATTTATTGGGTAACGGTACAGTATGGAGCATGGAGTACAGAGCTCAGCTTTGATGGGGAAATGTTAAATGCTTCCTGTTCTACAAGGTTTTAAATCCTGAGAATATAGTCATGGTTGTTCTTGCTACTCACAAGTGTTTAAATGTTGATCAGCAGTTAATTACACTTTAATTTTATGGTCATGTTCTTTGTAGGCAGAATTACGAGCCTTGGAGGAAGGAGATGGTAGTGTATCGGGGTCTAGTCCACGTTCTGATATCAGCCAACCAGCATCTCAAGATGGAATGCGTAGACTTATGTCTAAAAGAGGAAAATGGAAGATGTTTGTTCGAGCTACCAGTCCAGAATCCACAAGCCGGAGTTCTAGTAAGACTGGACGAGAGACTCCTGAAAATGGTGAAACTGGTAATTTGAATTTCACATTAAATTGTAAAGTTGAAAGATATACAGGGGAAAACCCTTTGTTCCCTTTTTTTATTTCTTCAGCAAAAAGAGGGAAGATACCAATATTTTCCTTTTGTGGAAGTGCTGGGAAAGGAGTTTGCTTCTACTTCTACTTTCTCCTGTTCCATCTCTAGTAGAGGAGTAAGCCTGAGAGTCTGGTATTCGTTGGGTCATTTATTCATAACGGAGAAGGGATTATTTTTTCCTGTAGAGGAGAAAACAAAATGAACCCCCACCCCCACCCCCTTTATTGCTTGCCGTGAAAATTTCCTTGACCTCTGTAGGGCTCTTGACATCTCCTTCGCTTACCAGTTCTAGTTGTTAAGCAAGAGGCCAGGGCGTACTACCTCTGGCAGGCCAAGCCTCATTTCTGCTCTTTGTGTACAAGTTGCCCAGCCTGTGTGTGGGTGCCTAGTTGCTCCTGTCACAAAGACCCAAGTCAGGTTTTCCAAAGTAAAGTGAAGCAAGGCCATCTTGTGTTTTCCAGTCTGTTATCAGAGAGCTCTGAATAAAGCTAGTATTTTAGTTTCCATTTGATCGCAGTACTGTGGTTGAAAGTGAGCAGTAAGATTCGAATGCCAAACAGTTGACTACATCTAGCAGAAGACACTTTCCTAGATTGTGGTAAAAAACAGAAACATAGGTAATTAAAAAATGTAGATGTTTGAATTTTTTCTTTAATCAACAGTATAGAAGCACATGACGGAAACTCTTTTTTTAAAAAAAATACTTATTTATTTGAAAGAGTTACAGAGAGAGGCAGAGAGACCTTCCATCTGCTAGTTTACTCCAGATGGTGGTCACAGCCGGGGCTGGGCTAGGCCAAAGGTGATTCTAGGTCTCCCACATGGGTAGCAGGCTGCTTTTCCCAGGCTATTAGCAGGGAGTTGGATCAGAAGTGGAGCAGTATGGCCTGGGAAAGCAGTAGCCCCTGCACCCGAGTGGGAGACCTGGAAGAAGCTCCTGGCTCCTAGCTTCTGGTCGGCACAACTCCAGCCGTTGTGGCCAATTGGGGAGTGAACCAGCAGATGGAAGACCTCTCTCTTTTTCTGCCTCTCTTCTCTCTATGTAACTCTAACTTTCAAATAAAATAAATAATTCTTTAAAAAAAAAAATGGAGCAGCAGAGGGACACAAACCAGCACCCATGTGGGATGCTGGCGTTGTAGACTTTTCCTGCTATGCCACAATGCTGGCCCTATGAAGTAAAATTCTAAGACTCTATTTTCTCCTTATTTTCATTTCCTACCCCCTATGATCTGTTTTCTTACCCTTTATATACATATACCCATTCAAGCTTTTCCAGTTGAAAATTTTTTCTTCATTTGAATATTTGGTAATGCTTTAAGTTTTGTACTTCTGATAGCTCTCCCTCGGCCCCTGCTCTAGGCTTATTGTGTCACCCCTTTTCTTCCTTTTATACTTGTGTAGGTGTGAATATTCATGCATTTGACAAGTTTACCATATATGAGATTGTATTATATAGATAGATTGTTACCCAACTTAATTGTTTTTAACCATTTTGTGGTATATTCATGCTTTTTTAATGCTTCCCTCATTATGAGGTGGATGTTTAAATTGTGTCCATGTTTTACTCTTTACGTATTATTATTTGAGAGTTAGAGTTACAGACCGAGAGGTAGAGATAGAGAGATCTTTCATCCAGTGATATACTCCCCAAGTGGCTGTAATTTTTGGCACTGGACCGATCTGAAGCCAGGAGCTTCCTCAGGGTCTCTCACATAAGGGCAGGAGCCCAAGCACTTGGGCCATCTTCTGCTTTCCCAAGCCAAAAACAGAGAGCTGGACCACAAGAGGGACAGCTGGGACATGAACCGGTGCCCTATGGGATGCTAGCACCACAGTGCACTTACATTATCAGAAAAACTCCTACAGGCCACTTAGATAATCCATCAAGATAGAATGGATAAATTGTGATATATAAGGGTACTTCAAAAAGTTGTTGGGAAAATAGAATTAAATGATTATTTTGGGGGCCTTTGTTGTGGCATAGCAGGTAAGGCTGCCACCTGCAGTGCCCGCATCCCATATGGATGCAGGTTCGAGACCTGGCTGCTCTACTTTTATATATTTTTTTAAGATTTATTTATTTATTTTTATTTGAAAGTCAGTTACACAGAGAGAGGAAAAGCAGAGAGAGATAGAGAGGACTTCCATCTGATGTTTCACTCCCCAACTGGCCGCAATGGCCGGAGCTGCGCCAATCCAAAGCCAGGAGCCAGGAACTTCTTTTTTATTTATTTATTTTTTTTTGGACAGGCAGAGTGGACAGTGAGAGAGACAGACAGAAAGGTCTTCCTTTGCCGTTGGTTCATTCTCCAATGGCCGCCACGGCTGGTGCACTGCGCTGATCCGATGGCAGGAGCCAGGAGCCAGGTGCTTTTCCTGGTCTCCCATGGGGTGCAGGGCCCAAGCACCTGGGCCATCCTCCACTGCCCTCCCGGGCCACAGCAGAGAGCTGGCCTGGAAGAGGGGCAACCGGGACAGAATCCGGCGCCCCAACCGGGACTAGAACCCGGTGTGCCAGCGCCGCAAGGCGGAGGATTAGCCTAGTGAGCCGCGGCGCCGGCCAACATTGAATAATTTTTAAAACAGTATTGAGGGGCCGGTGCTGGGCGGATTAATGTCCTATTCTGTACTGCTGGCATCCCATATGGGCACTGGTTTGAATCTTGGCTGCTCCACTTTCCATCCAGCTCCCTGCTAATGTACCTTGGAAAGCATTAGAGAATGGCCCAAGTCCTTAGGCCCCACACCCATTTGGAAGATCCGGAAGAAGCTCCTGGCTCCTAGCTTTGAATCGCCTCAACTCCAGCCATTGCGGCCACTTGGGGGAGTGAACCATCCATTGATGGAAGACCTATCTCTGACTTTCAAATAAATGAATAAATCTTTAAAAAAAAGAAAGTGGAGCAGCTGGGTCATGAATCTGTACCCATGTGGATGCAGGCATTACAGGCTGTGGCTTTACCACTGAACCGCCCTGTATTCCAAATTCTCACTACCAAAAGGCATCACCACCGATCCAAGGAAAGAAGGTATCAGGTGGTTTACAATTAATGTGCTGTAATTTTTGAGAACTTTATCTTCTCCCACCCCCAATTTGTAAAAACTCCTTAAATATCCTAGATCTGATGTCTTGCTTTTGTAAGTACTTGCAGTCAATGTTATGGAAGAAAAGATTAGAAATGACTGCACAAAGAAAGGGAAAGTAGAAACTACAGGTATTGTGGTAAAATAGTAAATTTCATTCATAGACAAATTTCAAGAAATGTGTTTATAAAGTATTTTTGGTTTTATGAAGACAGGTTGGCAAATTAAAAGGCTTCAGATATCTTTGCTGGGGGGAAGAAAATGTATATGAGGGGCTGGCGCTGTGGCATAGCAGGTTAGGGCACTGATCCAGCCACTCCACTTCTGAACCAGTTCTCTGCTATGGCTTGGGAAAGCAGTGGATGATGGCCCAAGTCCTTGAGCCCCTGCACCCGAGTGGGAGACCTAGGGGAAAGTTCTTGGCTCCTGGCTTTGCATCGGCACAGCTCCGGCTGTTGAGGCCAGTTGAGGAGTGAACCATCAGATGGAAGACCTCTCTCTCTCTCTCTTTCTGCCTCTCGTTCTCTCTGTGTAACTCTGACTTTCAAATACACACACACACATGTATATATGAAATAAAGAAAATGTGTATGGGACTATATTTTTCTTGATCTTTTGGTTTAATTTCACTTTTTTTGTAGCAGTTGGTGTTGAAAATTCAGAAAAAGTAGATGAGAATTCAGACAAAGAGATGGAAACGGAAGAATCTTCAGAGAAGATAAAAGTACAAGCAGCACCTAAAGCAGAAGAAGAACAAGATTTGAAAGTATGTGTATTAGATCACATAATGGAATTTCACGAATGTTTTTTTAAAAGGCCAGCCATTAAAATACTTTGTGTTAGTAAGTAGTATAAATAACTTTCACCATCTCTAAACCTAAAACTTTTGTGTGGTTAGGTTGAAATGGTCATTTTTAAGGCTTAAATGACTAATAATGATTTGATGCTGAAAATAAATTCTAACTGCGTATCACTATCAAGTTAATCTTCCATTGAAATCAAATAGCTTATCAGTATTATAATGGCTTCTCCACCTGGGAAGTACTAAAGAAACTTTTTTTGTTTGTTTATAAGATTTATTTGTTTGAAGAGCAGATCTTTAATCCACTGGTTCACTCCCCAAATGGCTGTGTCAGCTGGGGCTGGGCCAGGCCTAATCCAGGAGGTCTCCCATGTGAGTGAGTACAAGGGCCCAAATATTTGGGCCATCTTCCATTGCTTTCTCAGGCACATTATCAGGGAGCTGGATTAGAAGTGGAGCAACTGGGACTTGAAGCAGCCCCCATCTGCGATGCCACTGTCAATAGGCAGTGGCTTAACCTGCTCCACCACAGCGCCGGCCCCTGAGGAAACTAAAAGTCACAGATTTAATCACTGTGTGAAATACTTGGTTTTATACAAAGCCACATTTATTTCCAATTGCATTTCTTTTTTAAAGATACATTTATTTGAAAGGCAGAGTGGTGGAGAGAGAAGAGAAGTAGGATCTTCATCCACAGGTTCATTCCCCAGATGGCTGCAACAGCCCGGGTTTGACCAGGCTGAAGCCAGGAGCATAGAACTCTATCCGGGTCTCTCACATGGGTAGCAGGGGCCCAGGTACTTTGGCCATCATCTGCTGCTTTCCCAGGTGCATTAGCAGAGAGCTGGTTGGGAAGTCGAGCAGCTGGGACTCAAACCAGCATTTGCATTGGATGCTGGGTTTATAAGTGGCGGCTTAACCTGGTGTACCACAATGTGAGCTCCTCCAGTTGCATCGCTAATGTAATTTCCTGGAGAGGGTTGGACTAAGTAAGTGTTGACCATTTAAATATAGTCTGTTCAAAAACCCCTTGTATTCTTCAGACTTGAGCTTATTCAGTCACTAGTTAGTATACAACCATGAAGGAGGGACTGGAAGAATTAATTTTGTTTCAGGCTACGTTGTGTGGCTAATATAAACAATTGATGGATAAATAACAGCTTTATGTAAGATTGGGAGTTATTTGGGATATTTTTAGAAGTTTTATTTTGTTTGACAAATTCGCAGAGATTTCCCATATGGTTCTTCATTTCCCAAATGTATACAACAGCTGGCACTCCATTAGACCAAAGCCAGGAGCCAGGAACTCAGTCCCACGGCAGGGACCCAAGTACTTGAGCCATTACCTGCTGCTTGGAATTAGGACTGGACCCAGGCACTCCAGTATGGGATGTGGGCATCCCAAATGACATCTTAACTGCTGTGCCAGATGACCGCCCTATTTTTTTCCAGCTTTAAGTATAATTCATAGTAAAAATAGAGTATATTTGGTATTTACAATGCAGTGTTTTGTTATATGTATACATTTCGGTAGGTTATCCAGCACCTCACATAGTTTTCCTTTTTGCATGTGAGGTGAGGACATGTAACATTGACACTAACAAATTTCAAATATACAATATGATACAGCATTAGTAACTGTGGTCAGCCTAGTGTACTTCGGTTCTCCAGAACTTCCTTTATAACTGAGCTTGTGTACTTCAGCCGCATCTCCCTGTTATTCCTTCTTTAGCCCCTGGCAACCACCATTCTGGTTCTGCCATCTCTTTCTATGAGTTTTGCAAAGATTAAAATCTATTTTAACTATTGAATCCCATGTTGTATCAGAATGAATTACGATGGTGTGAATAGGTGTGCATTTTATTTTTATAATCCATCTGTCATTATCACTTTATGTGAGTTTTACTATATATTTTAAAACTTCTAATTTTAAAAAAATTATTTTACTTATTTGAAAGGGGAGAGAGAAATCTTTCATCCTCTGGTTCAACCTCCAAATTGCCACAACAGCTGGGTTTGGACCAGACTGAGGCCAGGAGCTTTATCTGGGTCTGTCACAAGACAGAAGGATCCTAAGTACTTGGGCCATCTTCTGCTGCTTTCCCAGGCACTTTTAGCAAGGAGCTGGACCAGAGTAGAAGTCAGAACTTGAACTGATGCCCATATGGGATGCTGGTGATGCTGCAGTCAGCAGCTTAACTTGCCACACACTGGCCCCTTAATTTTAATTTTTAAAATATACTTGAGAGGCTGCCACTGTGGTGTACGGGTTAAAAGCCACCACATGCAAGGGAGGCATCCTGTGTGGGCATTGGCTCGAGTCCCAGCTGCTCAACTTCCCACCCAGCTCTCTGCTATGGCCTGGGAAAGCAGTAGAGGACGGCCCAAGTGTTTGGGCCCCTGCACCTGTATGGGAAGACCTGGAGGAGGCTCCTGGCTCCTGGCTCAGATCGGCACAGCTTTGGCCTTTGTGGCCAGTTGGGGAGTGAACCAGCTAATGGAAGATCGATTGATTGATCGATCTCTCTCTCTCTCTTTCTGCCTTGCCTTCTCTCTCTGTGTAACTCTGACTTTCAAATAAACAAATAAATCTTTAAAAATATATATATACTTGAAAGGCAAAGTGATATAGAAAGATACACACATGGGTGCAAACATAGAGCACTTCCATCTACTGGTTTACTTCCCAAATACAGTCAGGGCTAAGCCAAGCTAAAACCAGGAACCAGAAACTCAGTCTGACTCTTCCGTGTGGCAGGGAGAGACTCAAGTACTTGAGTACTGCCTGCCAGAGTATGTGTTAGCAGGAAGCTGAAATCAGAAGTGGGATCAGGACTCAGATCTCCAGTAAAGCATGCAAGCATCTCAGGAGAATCTTAACTGCTGTGCCAAATGCCCACCCGCTAATTTTTATCTCCTGCATGACTAGATGCAGCTATTTGAGGAAAAGCTGTTTATAGGCTGACGTACATTTATAGCATATGTAACATTAAATGAAGAAATTTATATGATACAGATAATATTATTGATTTTAATGTTCCTTTTTTTCTTTCTTGCTTTACAGTTTCAGATTGGAGAACTGGCAAATACCCTGATGAGTAAATTTGAGTTTTTAGGCATTAATAGACAGTCCATCTCCAACTTTCATGTGCTACTTTTACAGACTGAGGTAATTTAATTGTTTTTGGTATGAATAGCCAATGTTTGAATGAAATGCTGTGTGTGACTGGAATCTTATTTTGTTTACATTTTAGTCCTACATTAAAGATTTTCACTGATGTATATTTGAACTACTAACCCAGGAAACAAAAAACAATACCTAAGTACAGTATAATAATAAAAATAGATAATGAAAGATTTGAAAGATTTTTATATAATAGTATGCTTGTGAAAAGCATGGATATTAACACCTACAGATTTTTTTTTTTTTTTTTTTTAAAGGTTTATCTATTTGAAAGTAAGGTATTTCCTATCCCCTGGATCATCCCCTAAATGGACACAATGGCCAGTGCTGGGCCAGGCTGAAGCCAGGAGCCTTGAGTTTGTTCCATGTTTCCCGCCTGGGTGTCGGGGCCCAAATACTTTGGGCCATCTGCTGCTGCTTTTCTCAGGCCTTCAACAAGGAGCTAGCTGGGAAGTGGAGCAGCTGGGACACAAACTGGTACCCATAATGGGATGCTGGTCTCGCAGGCAGAGGCTTTACCCACTACACCACAACATGGGCCCCTAGATTTTTTTCTTTTTTCTTTTTTTTATTTGACAGGTAGAGTTAGAGACAGAGAGAGACAGAGAGAAAGGTCTTCCATCCTTTGGTTCAATTCCCTAATGGCCACTATGGCCAGTGCTGCGCCGATCCGAAGCCAGGAGCCAGGTGCTTCCTCCTGGTCTCCCATGCAGGTGCAGGGCCCAAGCACTTGGGCCATCCTTCACTGCCCTCCCGGGCCACAGCAGAGAGCTGGACTGGAAGAGGAGCAACTGGGATAGTACCCGGCATCCCAACCAGGACTGGAACCCAGGGTGCCGGTGCCACAGGCGGAATATTAACCAAGTGAGCCATGGCGCCAGTCCCCTAGATTTTTTTTCAAACAGAATTGTATTCATCTGGTAATTTGTAAAGTACTTTTAAGAGTTTATACATCATAAACCCACTTAAAAAGAAAATTTCTGAGTCCTATTTGTAAGCTGTGTAGAGTAGGATTAGATAAGCAACTGCTGTGGGAAGCTGGCTGATTTCTTTAAGAACTGAACCTTTCACTTAATTTGAATCCTAACAATACTGAACTGAGTGAACCATCTGCCCCTCTCCCCGAGAAGTAACAAGTAAAAATTACTGGAGAGCCAAATTTAATAAAATCCAAAGTAGGGAAGACAAAAACCACTGCTGCCCATTTTCAGAGGTCCTTGAGAGTTAGCTGAGTGAAAATACGCTGCAGGCCAGCTTCCTTTTCCAGAGTCTGCAGTGAAAATGTTTTTATGAAACTGAGATGGGATTTTCCTCTTTTAATCTCCTTTCTTTCTGCCAGAGAATAACAATATGATTTTGCAATATAAAGCTTAAGTCCCTTTCACTTCTGTCTCCTGACTTACTTCTCTGTCTGATTGTAGACTCGAATTGCAGACTGGCGGGAAGGGGCTCTTAATGGAAACTACCTTAAACGAAAACTCCAGGATGCAGCAGAACAACTAAAACAGTATGAAATAAACGCCACACCTAAAGGCTGGTCCTGCCACTGGGACAGGTACGCACTCTTCTCCCCTTTTCACCTTTCACCTTTGACATCTCAGACATGATTTGTGATCACCACCACCTGAGGACATGACAGCCTGTCTGGAGACTGAGAGCAGCTGCAGTTAGCGGTGCTGGGCAGGCGAAGCACCGCCAGCCCAGAGCTTGGCCAGCCACACATTGGAGAAACAAAAGCAATGTTTACAGTGTTCCATGTAACGGATTTTTTCCCAAGATTGGACAAAGCCGGTTTTACTCTCCAGAGTGTGCACGGAGTAGGGCGGGCTTGGGGGTTAAGCGCATGCGAGAGCTCTGTGCGCTTTACAGGACCTCTGGAAGCAACTACTCCTGATTAACCTCGGTGAAGTTAAGGAAAACTTCGTGGCTGAAGATGTGAATGAAGAACAAGATTACTATCCTCTGCCAGCAGGTCAGATGAAAACATTTCTTTTTATATTTGGCTTTTCTTGATTTTTTTTTTCGTTATTTGAAATCTTTGCTCTTTTATTTTTCAGCTCCCAGATCCTCTCCCTCTCTTTAGCTTTCACTGTGTTTGATACCAAGAATATGAAATGTGAATTCCACGGTCCAAGAGGGGAAGAGTCAACTTTCACAAACTTCGTTGTTCTCTTCTTTGGAAGGGAAATTAGTGTTCTAGGCGATTGAGTCCCTTCATTAATGAAACTTGAAACCCTGTTATGCATTGGCAAAAAAAAAACAAAAACAAAAAAAGAAAGATGTTTCAAAGTCTTGTGTTGGAGTGAGAGGGCTCAGGGCTGTATTCACAGAGCTGCTGGCAGTGCAAATAGCTTTGAATTATCCTGGGTTCTCCATCCTCAATTGTCAAAGCTCTTTGTTGCCTTTGTGAATAGCAGTCCATTAAGAAGAGGTTCGTCCCTGTGAGAGCAGACTGCTGTCCTGGGACAGGACCAGACTGGACGTGTCTCTGTCAGAGAACGGGTTTTAAAACGTGTGTTTTCTTTCTTGTAATTTAGGGATCATAGACGATATTTCTATGTAAACGAACAGTCGGGCGAGTCTCAGTGGGAATTCCCAGATGGTGAGGAGGAGGAAGAAGAAAGCCAAGCACAAGAAAATAGAGATGAGACCGTTCCTAAATCGACCTTGAAAGAAAAAACTGCTGCTGATTCAAATTCTACAGAAACCTCTGAGAATTCTACAGGTAGGAAGATTTACCCTGTACTAATGGGACAAAAAAAGATTTTAGAGGAAAAGCCTTACTTATATTTATCAGAAAAAAGTCTATACAATGCCGATAAGCTTACAGCTGGAAAGAAGTGGGTTGAACTAAAAGAATACATGAGTTATACTGAATAAATTAAGACAGTGACTGGTTGGAAATCAGCATATTATTGATATGTCATACTGTGCTTGAAAATGAAAAGATGGGGCTGGCGCTGTGGCGTAGCAAGTTAAACTGCCACCTGCAGCATGGGCATCCCGTATGGGCACTGATCAAGTCCCTGCTGCTTTATTTCCAGTCCAGCTCCCTGATAGTGTATCTGGGAAAGCAGAGGATAACCCCAGTTTCTGGGCCCCTGCCACCCATAATGGAAGATCCAGAAGAAGCTCCTGGCTCCTGGGTTGAGCCTGGCCCAGCCCTAGTAATTGTGACCATTTGGGAAGTGAACCAGCAAATGGAAGATCTCTGTCTCTCCTCTCTCTGTAACTCGGCCTTTCAAATAAATAAATAGATCTTTTTTATAAAATGAAAATGTAAGCCAATATATTTTAATTTTTAAAAGATTGTCCTATAACCATTCTATCATGTTACAGACAAAACTGAATTTAAAACAGTAATGCTGATTAAGTATAATAACAAGAATTGTTAATATCTGTGACATAATGAAATTTTTCCTACACATTGTAGCACATTTGGACTATTCTAAGTTTTTATTGACAGGCAGAGTGGACAGTGAGAGAGAGAGAGACAGAGAGAAAGGTCTTCCTTTGCCGTTGGTTCACCCTCCAATGGCCGCCGCGGCCGGCGCGCTACGGCCGGCACACCGCACTGATCCGAAACCAGGAGCCAGGTGCTTCCTCCTGGTCTCCCATGTGGGTGCAGGGCCCAAGGACCTGGACCATCCTCCACTGCCCTCCCGGGCCACAGCAGGAAGCTGGCCTGGAAGAGGGGCAACCGGGACAGAATCCGGCGCCCCAACCGGGACTAGAACCCAGGGTGCCGGCGCCGCAAGGTGAAGGATTAGCCTAGTGAGCCGCGGCGCCGGCCTGGACTATTCATTTTTTAAAATCCTTTTTACAAAAATTCATTTATGGGGTCAGCACTGTGGCACATTGGGTTAAGCCATTGCCTGCTATGCCACCATCCCATATGGGCACTGGTTCGAATCCCAGATGCTCTACTTCTGATCCAGCTCCCTGCTAATGCGCCTGGGAAAGCAGCAGAATATGGCCCAAGTCCTTGGGCCCCTGCGTTCATGTGGGAGACTCAGAAGAATCTCCTGTCTTCTACCTGGCTGGACTCTAGCTGTTGTGGCCATCTAGGGAGTGAACCAACAGATAGAAGATCTTGATCTATCTCTCCCCTCTGCACCTCTGTAACTCTGTCTTTCAAATAAATAGAAGATTTATTTGGGAGCGAAGAAAAGAGCACATGCTCCCATCTGCTGATTCACTGCACAGATGCCCACATTGATCAGGTGGCCAGAGCTGGCATCTGGGAGCTCAGCGCAGGTCTCCCTTGTGGGTGGCAGGAACCCAACTACTTGAGCCATCACTGCTGCCTCCCAGGGTCTGCATCTGCATGAAGCTGGAGTCAGGAGCTAGAGCCAGAGATCAAACACAGGCATCCTAACCAGCAATGTAGTGCACAGCTTTATCGCTAGGCCTAACTCCTGTTTCTGGTCTGTTATACTGCAACCTCATTTCTCAACTCCACTTGGTATTATTATAAGAAGTGTGGTTAGTAGATCAAAATGAAATGAAGAAATTCTATGAAAGTATTACTAGTTTCAGAAAAACAAAGTAATTGTTAATTGAAAATTGTGAACATCCTAGTGTATATAGTTTATGTGATGGCTAGTTCTTCAGAAGAGCTGCAACTTGATTGCCACTTTATAATAAAAGATATATATATATTATATTTTTAGTATATATTCTTTATATTATATGTATATATTTTTCCCCATGTCCATCTTTGTTGGATTGATGAATAAGGGGATAATGAAGCATAGTCAAAACAGCCTTTTGATGGGCAACTTGTTGATTTGTAGAAGCTGGTAGCCGTTTGTTAAAGTGGTGACATGAAGGCTAGAATCTGTGGAGTGTTTTCTAAATAGACATTTGAAAAATAAGATAGGAAATTTGTTGGTGACATAGGGAGTAAAGAGCTGAATTATTTTGTCTTTACCAAAATGATGCTTATATTCTAAATAAATGCTTCTGGATCTCATTATAAAAGTTCTAGTAATGCACCAATAGCCTAGAAATTGCCATCAGATCACTTTAAAGTCACGTTATGACTGCAGTGATAATTTTAAAACATAGCAAAAGGGTAGTTTTATTGTACTTCATGTTTTAGAAGTATGTTTTCTCAAGTTACAGGATATTTTACATCTCTTTTTTCCATAAAGAGATTTTCTTTTGAATACTTTCCTCCTCTTTGGGTGCCATAGATATATCTAATGATAGATTTTTTTTTTATCATTGTTTACTTTTTAGTAATGAACTGAAGAGGCTTGATAATGATTGGAAGTAGCTGATTCCACTCCAAGTCACTGTTTCTTCCTTGTATGTTTCAAAGTTGTTCTGTGGTTACTGACCCTTAAGTGTTCTTGCCAAGTATTAAGCTGCTTTCTCCCTTTGTCGATGATGCGTATGGTTGGTAATGTCTTCTGAAAGGTGGATCTTGAGATCTATTGCTAGTAGGGGCAGAATTGTGGTGTAGCAGGTCACGCTGCTTCCTGCAGTGCATATGGGTGCCATTTCAAGTCCCAGTTGCTTCACTTCCTATCCAACGCCCTGCTATGTACCTGGGAAAGTGCTTGGGTCTCTGTGCTCACTTGGGAGACCCAAGTGAAGCTCCTGGCTCCTGGCCTGCACCTGGCCCAGCCCCAACCCTTGCCGCCTTTTGGGGAGTGAACCAGCAGGTAGAAGACTCTGTGTGTCTCTATCTCTGTAACTCTGCCTTTCAAATAAATAAAATAAATATTTTTTTTATGTGAGCCACTGATAAACCAGCTTATAGTCTTAAACTTCTCTTGTTGAGAGTCCTTAGAAGTATATGATAAAAAACTAAGTAAAATCTAAATTTTTTTACCAAGGTCTGTGGGAGATTAAAAGCAATACTGATCACTGTTCTAAGTCTATAAAGAGAATTTATATAGTAACTGTGTGACCTTGTTGGCTCAGTAGTGACTAAAACCATCTTTTAAGGAAGAAAAATTGTTACATTGTGAAGATCCAGGGGAAAGTTTTGAAGTTCTGTTTATTTTTCTACATCATTTAAAATTCTTTTTCATTCTTTTAGTATTTGAATTTAACATCATGTCTTTGAAGACAGGTGATATTTGAAGATATCCAAGTGTCTATATTGCTGCACTTGGGTTACTTTATGTGAGGTTTCTTATTTTAAGTAGCTACACTAGCCTCTTGGCTCAAAATACCAAGCAGTTTCACTTTGAAGGTAAAGGAAGGCTGTCGATTAGTTGAAACAAAAATATCTCAAAAGGTTTTTGAAGAGTTAAAAATATGTATCCTCACATTGCTTTAAGCTTGTTTTTTTAAAAAAACTTTTTAAGATTTATGTATTTATTTGAAAGGCAGAGATAATGGGGGAGGGGGGAGAGGAGAAAGTGAGAGAGTTAGATCTTTTATCTGCTGGTTGACTCCACAAATTGCTGCAATGGCTGGGGCTGAAACCAGGATCCAGGGGCATCTTCCTGGTCTCCATATGGGAGGCAGGGGTCCAAGCACTAGGGCTGTCTTCCTCTGCTATCCCAGGTGCATTAACAGGGAGCTGTACTGGAAATCTAGCAGCTGGGACTCATTGGTGCCCATATGGATGCTGGCACTGATAGGAAAATTTTAAGCTTGTAGTCTTAAAAACCTTTTTGTGTGTAATTGAAGCTTTGTTTACAATTTTAATCCTCCTTGGACTTAAATACACTTTTTTTTTTTTTAAAGATTTATTTACTTATTTAAGACAGAGCTACAGAAAGAGTGAGGAGGAGTCTTCCATCCACTGGTTCACCCCTCAGATGGCCACAATAGCCAGGCCAAAGCCAGGAACAAAGACCTTCTTTGGGGTATTCCACATGGGTTCAGATGTCCAAACACTTGGGCCATCTTCCATTGTTTTTCCCAGGCCATTAGCAGGGAGCTGGATCAGAAGTGGAGTAGAGGCTGGTGCTGTGTGGTGGCGGCATCCCTTATAGGTGCTGGTTTGAGTCCCAGCTGCTCCACTTCTGATCTAGCTCTCTGCTATGGCCTGGGAAAGCGGTAGAAGATGGCCCAAGTCCTTGGGCCCCTACACTTTGTGGGGAACCTGGAAGAAGTTCCTGGCTCCTGGTTTCTGATTGGCTCAGCTCCAGCCATTGCAGCCATTTGGGGAATGAACCAGTGGGCGGGGAAGACCTCTCACTTTCTCTCTCTGCCTTCTCTGCCTCTGCTGCCTCTCCATAACTCTGCCTTTCAAATAAATAAGTAAATCATTAAAAAATAAAAGTGGAGGCTGGCGCCGCGGCTCACTAGGCTAATCCTCCGCCTAGCGGCGCCAGCACACTGGGTTCTAGTCCCGGTTGGGGCGCCAGATTCTGTCCCGGTTGCCCCTCTTCCAGGCCAGCTCTCTGCTGTGGCCAGGGAGTGCAGTGGAGGATGGCCCAGGTGCTTGGGCCCTGCACCCCATGGGAGACCAGGAAAAGCACCTGGCTCCTGGCTCCTGCCATCGGATCAGCGCGGTGCATCGGCCGCAGCGCGCCGGCCGCGGTGGCCATTGGAGGGTGAACCAACGGCAAAAGGAAGACCTTTCTGTCTGTCTCTCTCTCTCACTGTCCACTCTGCCTGTCAAAAAAAATTTAAAAAATTTAAAAAAAAAATAAAAATAAAAGTGGAGTAGCCAGGACATGAACTGGCACCCATATGAGATGCCAGTGTTGCTGGCGGTGTCTTTATACACTATGCCACAATGCTGACCCCTTAAATGTATTTTTTTTTTTTAAAGATTTATTTATTTTATTATTTGAAAGAGTTACACAGAGAGAGGAAAGGCAAAGAGAGAGGGAGGTCTTCCATCCACTGTTTCACTCCCCAATTGGCTGTAACCGCCGGAGCTGCGCTGATCTCAAGCCAGGAACTTCTTCTGGGTCTCCCACGTGGGTGCAGGTGCCAAGAACATGGGCCATCTTCCACCACCTTCCCAGACCACAGCAGAGAGCTGGGTCAGAAGTGGAGCAGCCAGGTCTCAGAGCAGCGCCCATATGGGATGCTAAAGGAGTTAATTATCAATGTTAAGACAGCTTTTTATGTTTTAAGTAAACTTAGTTTGAGATTCAAATATTATAGAAATGTTTGTTTGTGGGTAGATTTATTAAGCACAGTTTTTGTGTTTTGTGGTTTTTTTTTGTTTTGTTTTAAGTTTGAAAGCAGACAGATTATATCCACTGATTCACTTCCCAGATGCCTGCAACAGTCAGTTCTGGGCCAGTCGGAAGCCAGGAACCAGCAATTTTATTCTGGCTTCCCATGTTGTTGGCAGGGACTCAGGTGCTTCCATCTTCCACCTACCTTCCATCTGCATTAGCAGGAAGCTGGATTGGAAGCACAGCAGCCGGGACTCAAGCTGGCACTTAGACAGATATAGGATGCCACCAATGTAAGCAGTGGCTTTGCTCACTGTACCACAGCCCTGACACCCTCAAGTGTAGTTTAATCTTGAATTGACATAAAGTTTACTTAATTCTGATTAGCTGTGCTGAAAGTTGTGTGAAACTTATGCTAACCTTGAACCTCTGAATTCCTCTGCATAGCAGCTTGCAACCATCATAAGCATTGGCATTGCATTATATTCTACCAATTATCGTAAAGTTTAACATTTATTTACCTACTATATTTTATATTTAATTTTGTGGAAGGAAATTTAATCCTTAAGTCATTCATTATTCCTCAATGTTTAGGGCCTTAGTTTTATTTATTTATTTTTTTGGGGGGAAAGATTTATTTATTTATTTATTTATTTGAGAGGCAGAGTTAGAGACAGATAGAGAGGGAGAGGGAGAGGGAGAGGGAGAAAGAAAGAAAGAAAGAAAGGTCTTCCATTCGCTGGTTCACTCCCTAGATGGCCGCCAACAGCCAGAGCTGAGCTGATCCAAAGCCAGGAGCCAGGAGCTTCTACCAGCTCTCCCATATGGGTGCAGGGGCCCAAGTGCTTGGGCCATCTTGTACTGCTTTCCCATTCCATAGCAGAGAGCTGAATGGGAAGAGGAGCAGCCAGGACTAGAACCGGCGCCCATGTGGGATTCTGGCGTCATAGGCAGAGGCTTGGCCCACTATAATACGGCACTGACCCTATTGCCTTAGTTCTGATATAATCTTAACAGCCTATTAGGTGGTGTAGGCTACCTGGCCATGCCCAGACATCTTTTGTCTAAAAGGTGATATATATGTTAGTATTAGATATGGCCACATATAAAGGTGTTTTGTTTTTTAATTTGAAAGACAGGCAGGCAGGCAGAGATTTTGCATCTGCTGGTTTACTTCCCAAATGCCTGCAATAGACTAGGAGTAGGAGCCAGGAGCCTGGAACTTGAATGGTCATTCAGTGGGTGGCAGGGACACAACTACCTGGTCCATCAGCTGCTGCCTCCCAGAGTATACATTAGTAGGAAACTAGAATTAAGATCAGAGTCAGAACACAATCCCAGGCACTCTGGTGTGGGATGCGGGCATTCCAACTGCTGTGTCAAATGCCCACCCCTCAAACTAGAAGTTTAATCAGTCTTTGATTCTTTTAGCTGGAGAGCTGCATCCCAGTGCGCTTTTCCTTAGCAATAAACTATATATCAGAATAATTACAGGAACAACATGAATCAAGTTTGTAAAATCTTCGACACTATCATTACCTTTTCAATACAAAAATAAATACTCTGAAGGCCAAATAGATTCTGGTTGCTTTTGATTTACCTTGTTGAGTATTAATGTGATATGTTTTGAATAAAGTACTATAATGGCCTTCTCCTTGCCCTAGAGCCTTTTGTAATTGAGCCCTTACTTAACCCACCACTTTTGACCATGAAATTTAACAGGTGACTGCGTCTGGATATCTACTTCATGAGATGTGAGATTATTTGACTTGAGATTTCTAAAGCTCTTGGACTCCTGCTATTTCACCAGGACATCTTGGTAAAATAGAAAGCACAAGAGTAGGAGTTAGACTTGAGCTCTCTCTCTGGCCTGGCCACTAACATATGTATGATCTTGGGCAAGGCAATTCCTGCCTGGGTTTCATTACCTTTAAAATGAGGTTGAACTAGATAATTTCTCATTTCTCTTCTACTCCTAAATTCTATGATTTTTAGGGAGAAAATCCCTTCAGCATTCCTGGGATATATATCTAATAGTCCCATATATTGTGAAACTTCCCTATTGACGATAAAGAGGGATGGGGAAGGCTACAAGTAAGTATGTCCTCCTATTTTCTCTAATCTTTAAAAGCTATTCCCAGCAGTAATTCCCAGAAAGGATAGTAATCAATGGTGGCTTTTGCAGAATTTTAGAGAAACTGATCCTACTGCTTTAGCTGCAATTTTTTTTTTTTTGACAGGCAGAGTGGACAGTGAGAGAGAGAGACAGAGAGAAAGGTCTTCCTTTTGCCGTTGGTTCACCCTCCAATGGCCACCGCGGCCGGCGTGCTGCGGCCGGCGCACCGCGCTGATCCGATGGCAGGAGCCAGGAGCCAGGTGCTTTTCCTGGTCTCCCATGGGGTGCAGGGCCCAAGCACTTGGGCCATCCTCCACTGCACTCCCGGGCCACAGCAGAGAGCTGGCCTGGAAGAGGGGCAACCGGGACAGAATCCGGCGCCCCAACCGGGACTAGAACCCGGTGTGCCGGCGCCACTAGGCGGAGGATTAGCCTAGTGAGCCGCGGCGCCGGCCTTAGCTGCAATTTCTTAACTCAAACTTCAGTAACAGCAATTTCAGGTCCTCTGCGTCTTCAAATACCATTTTTGAAAAAATATTTGAAGATTGGCTTCCTAAATATCCCATTTTTCACCACAAAACTAAAAATTATCCTAACTTGTGTTACTTTGTTCTACTAAGTGAGTATAATTTACACAAAATGTGAAAGGAATGATCAAGTTGACAGTAGCACCTTGCAAATGGATTTTTAAAACCTGGTAACCCAGATTAATTAAATGGGTAGAATTTTTATCTTTGGAATGGGTATTTCTGAGTCATCCCCATTCAGTTATCTAGCTCCTTGAAAAGTAAAATAATCAATATTTCAGGTGCACATAATTCACTCACTCATTTGCTTTGAAATAAGACCCCAGAGTATTGCCTTTTAGTTGTATTTATTGAAACCATGAATACCAGAAATTAAAATTCCAAACCATAGATTTAGATGACTGAATTTCTCATTAAGTTGATGTGTTATTAAGTTTTTCATCCATAAATCTGGACCAAAGAACATGAATGATAACACAACTAGGGAAAGTGCTAACTGAAGATCATAAATTTATCTTTCCATGGGAAGTTATTTCTGAACTGAGTTCTTTAATATTTCAGTGACAAATTGCCTGTGGGTCAGAATTTGGAGGCAGGGGAGGGAGAGCTAGTCCCTGCTGTTTGAAACTACTTTTGCATGGTGTACTAGGTTTCTGTTGATATTTGTCTTATGGATAGGTGAGCGTTTCTGTAAATGTAAACCCTGAGGTTTTTGTCTTGGTTTTTCCCTGACTCCTGTCTGTCTTCATAGGTTCTCTTTGTAAAGAATCCTTTTCTGGTCAAGTTTCTTCTTCATCACTCATGCCACTGACTCCATTCTGGACCCTCCTTCAGTCAAATGTGCCTGTGCTTCAGCCACCATTACCTTTGGAAATGCCACCGCCTCCACCTCCACCCCCAGAATCCCCTCCTCCCCCACCGCCCCCACCTCCTCCTGTAGAAGATGGTGAGATCCAAGAGGTAGAGATGGAGGATGAGGGAAGTGAAGAACCTCCTGCCCCAGGAACAGAGGAGGATACTCCCTTGAAACCTTCATCACAAACCACAGTTGCAACTACCCAGGTAAATGATATTTGACATTCTGAATGGTAATGGGGACTGCAGCATAATTGACTCCATGTTTTTCTTTTATTTCTCAAAGATGTATTTATTTATTATGAAATCAGAGTTAGAGAAGGAGAGACAGAGAAAGAGCTTCCATCTGCTGGTTCACTCCCCAAATGGCTGCAATGGCTGGGGCTGGGCCAGGCTGAAGCCAGGAGCCAGGAGCTTCTTCTGTGTTTCCCATGTGGGTGCAGGGGACAAAGGACTTGGGCCATCTTCTGTTGCTTTCCCAGGCACATTAGCACAGAAGTGGTTTGGAAGTGGAACAGCAGGGCCTTGAACTGGCACCCATGTGGGATGCCAGCAGTGCAGATAGCGGCTTAACCTGCTGCATCACAGTACTGGCCCCTCCAAGTTTTATTTTAGAAAGGTGTGTTCTACCAGGGTCTTTAGCCACTGACCAGAATGTTTGTGTTTCAGAGTTCGGCTGATTCTACCATCTCTAGTTCTCCTTCCATTAAAGCGATAAAGAGAAAAGCTACAGAAATGAGTACTGCAGTGGTTCAGAGATCAGCTACCATTGGCAGTTCTCCAGTCCTCTATAGCCAGTCAGCTATAGCTACAGGTAAGTATGCTTTTTTCGATGTATTGCTTTCCTTGTCTCCAGTGTTAGGTGCCATAAATATTTTTGTATTTATTTGAGAGGTAGAGTTACAGTCAGAAAGGGAGAGACAGAGAGAAAGGTCTTCCGTCCACTGGTTCGCTCCCCAAATGGCCAAGTGCCCAGAGCTGGGCTGGTCTAAAGCCAGGAACCGGGAGCTTTTGTTGGATCTCCCACATGGGTGGTAGGACCCTAGGACTTGGGCCATCTTCTGCTGCTTTCCCAGGCCATTAGTAGGGAGCTGGATTGGAAGTGGAGTAGCCGGGACTCGAACTGGTGCTCATATGAGATGCTGGCATTGCAGACGACAGCTTAACCTATTAAACCATGATGCCAGCCTCCTCTGTGACTATATGTGTTTGTGTATTTAAAATTTATTTTATTTATTTGAAAGCTAGAGTTACAGAGAGGTAGAGCCAGAGAGAGAGTGGTCTTCCATCTACTGGTTCATTCCCCAAATGGCTGCAATGGCCAGAGCTGGGCCAATCCGAAGCCAGGAGCCAAGAGCTTCTTCTGGGTCTCCCAAGCAGGTGCAGGGGCCCAAGGACATGGGCCATCTTTCACTGCTTTCCCTGGCCATAGCAGAGAGGTAGATCAGAAATGGAGCAGAGGCCGGCACTGTGGTGTAGCGGGTATAACTGCCGCCTGCAGTTTCAGCATCCCATATGGAAGATGGTTCGAATCCTGGCTGCTCCACTTCCTATCCAGCTCTCTGCTATGGCCTGAGAAGGCAGTAGAAGATGGCCCAAGACCTTGGGCCCCTGCACCCACATGGGAGACCCAGAAGAATCTCCTGGCTCCTGGCTTCAGATCGGTGCATCTCTGGCTGTTGCAGTCAAATGGGGAGTGAACCAGTGGATGGAAGACATCTCTCTCTCTCTGCCTCTGCCTCTCTCTCTGTAACTCTGACTTTCAAGTAAAATAAATAAACTTAAAAAAAAAGAAAAAGAAGAAGAAGTGGAGCAGCCTGCACTCTGGTGCCCGTATGGGATGCTGGCACTGCAGGTGGTGGCTTTACTCCTACACCACAGCACCGGCCTCACTGACTTTTCTTCTTTTTCTTTTCTTTTCTTTTTTTCCTTTTTTTTTTTTTTTTTGAGGAAAATGTGTACGGGAATAATTTTGTCAGTGATCTAACTTTGATGTCCCTTTTTTCTTGCCTCTGGTCTTGATACAACGTCCATTTTAAAGTATTATGTTTCCTTCATTAGGTCACCAGGCCACAGGGATTGGACACCAGGCAATATCAGTTAGCCATCCAGCAACAGGAATGGGTCATCAGACCAGAGGAATGAGCCTGCAGTCAAATTACCTTGGACTAGCAGCAGCACCCGCAATTATGAGTTATGCGGAATGTTCTGTTCCAATTGGAGTTACTGCTCCCTCATTACAGCCAGTTCAGGCACGAGGTGCTGTGCCTGCCACTGCTATTATAGAACCGCCGCCGCCGCCGCCTCCTCCTCCTACACCACCACCACCACCACCAGCTCCCAAAATGCCACCACCTGAAAAGACGAAAAAGGGAAAGAAAGATAAGGTATGATTTTTTGAAAAAATTTTATTAAAATTTTATTTTGATAATTTACGTAACACAGTTAACCATTTTTAAATGTACAATTTAGTAGTATATAATGTACTCACAGAATATGCAACCACACCTCCATCTAGTTACAGAACAGTTTCATCAGCCCCAAAGACCAGTGTGTACTTTTTAAGAAGTCACTGTCTCGGGCTGGCCCTGTGGTGCAGCGAGTTAAAGCCCCAGCCTGCAGTGCCAGCATCCCATATGGGCGCCTGTTCAAGGCAGTGACTCGCTGCTCCACTTCTGATCCAGCTCTGCTATGGCCTGGGAAAGCAGTAGAAGATGCCCCAAGTCCTTGGGCCCCTGCACCCGCATGGGAGACCCGGAACAAGCTCCTGTCTCCTGGCTTTGGATCAGCTCAGCTTTGGCCGTTGTGGTCATTTGGAATAGAAGACTTCCCTTTCTCTGGCGCTACCTCTCTCTGTAACTCTGTCTTTTATATAAAAAGAAAGAAGGCACTCTGTTATCTCCATCTCCCATTTTCTGGGAATCACCAGTCAGCTTGTTTTGTCCTGTGTGTTTTTTTTTTTTTTTTTTTTTTAAAGATTTATTTATTTGGGGGCTGGCATTGTGGCTTAGTGGGTAAAGCTGCTGCCTGTGACACCTCACCCCAACTGGACGCTGGGTTGTGTCTCAACCACTGTACTTCATATCCAGCACCGTGCTAATGCTATGGTAAAATAAGTCTTTTTAAAAAAGATTTATTTATTTGAAAAGCAATGTTACAGAGATACCGCCCATCTACTGATTTACTCTCCAAATGGCTACACTGGCCAGGGCTGCACCAGGCTGAAGCCAGGAGCCTGGAATTGCATCCAGATCTTCCAGATGGGTGGCGTGTCCAAGTACTTGAGTCATCATGAGTGCTTTCCCAGGTGCATTAACAGGGAGCTGGATCAGAAGTGGAACATCTGAGACTCAAAGCAGCACTCACGTGGGATCCTCTTGTCATAGGTAGCAGTGTACCTATGTGCACCACAGTACTGCCCCCACCAGTTGACTTTCTGCCTCTAGACTTACCTGTTCTGGGTGGTTCATATACATGGAATCGTGCAGTATGTGATCTTTCGTTCTTCCCTCACTGAGCATGTTTTCAAGATTTGTCTACATAGCACATAATCTGTACTTACTTTTTAAAAAATTTTATATCATTTGAAGGGCAGAGAGACAGATCTTTGTCTTTCATCTGGTGATTCACTCTCCAGATGCCTGCAGCACGCAGGGCTGGCCTAGCCTGAAGCCAGGAGCCTGGGAGCAGAGTGGCTGAGTTTCAAGACAGGCATTCTGATACAAGATGCAGGCGCTCCAAGGCGGCGACTTAACTGCCATGCCAAATGCCCGACCCCATTTCTTCTGGCTGAATAAGAATCCATGTGTGTGCGTATGGCACAATGTGTTTGTTTATTCATTAGGTAATGGATAGTTATTATGTTTCTACCTCTTAAGAAGTGCTACTTTGGAAATTCGTGTCCACTGTTGAATACCTGTTCAATTCTTTTGGAGTCAGATTTGAACTCTAACTCAGGTATAGCAATACTTATTATCTTCCTGTTTTATTTATTTTCATTTTTACTGAAAGAGAGTAACGGGAAGATCTCCCATCTTCAGGAAACTGGAATCAGAGTAGAGCTGGGAATTAAGCCGAGCCACTCAAATAATGGGCTGGGAGCATCCTATGGCTACACCAAACACCCACCCCAAATTGGGTTCTTATGTTGTCACAATTAGTTGAGAGTTGTATGTATATTATAGATACAAGACTCTTACTACATGATATGCAACTGTCTTCTTTTTTCTTTTGTTTTTCTTTTTCTTTCTTTCTTTCTTTCTTTTTTTTTTTTTTTTTTTTTTTTTTTTTTTTTTTTTTTTTTTTTAAGATTTATTTATTTATTTGAAAGGCAGAGTTACAGAGAGCCAGAGAGAGAGGTCTGCCATCCGCTGGTTGACTTCCCAGATGGCTACAACAGCCAGAGCTGTGCCCATCCGAAGCCAGGAGCCAAGAAGTTTTTCCTGATCTCCTGCACGAGTGCTGTGGCTCAAGGGCTTGGGCCATCTTCTACTGCTTTCCCAGGCCATAACAGAAAGCTGATCAGAAGAGGAGTAGCCAGGATTTGAACCGGCGCCCATTTGGGATGCCAGCACTGCAGGCAGCGGCTTTACCTGCTACACCTCAGCGCTGGCCCCAACTGTTTTCTTTTGATCTGTGCTTTCTTCCTATTTTTTTTTTAAAGATTGATTTATTTATTAGAAAGGCAGAGAGAGAGGTCTTCAATGGCTGCAATGACCAGAGCTGGAACTATCCGGAAGTGAGGAGCCTGGAACCTCCTATAGGTCCCCCACATGAGTGCACCGACCAAGAATTTGGGTCATCCTCTACTGCTTTCCCAGGCCACAGTGCCCCCCCCCCCTTTTCTCCTTCTTTAATTGTGTCTTTTTAAGAAGTTTTACATTTAGATGAAGTCCAGTATGTCTTTTTTTTTTTTTTTTTTTTTTTTTTTTTAAAAACAGGCAGAGTGGACAGGTAGAGTTATAGACAGTGAGAGACACACAGAGAGAGAGAGAGAAAGGTCTTCCTTCTGTTGGTTCACTCCTCAAATGGCTGCAGTGGTCGGAGCTGCCGGAGATGCACCAATCCGAAGCCAGGAGCCTGCTTCCTCCTGGTCTCCCATGCTGGTGCAGGGGCCCAAGCACTTGGGCCATCTTCTACTGCTTTCCCAGGCCACACAGAGAGCTGGACTGGAAGAGGAGCAAGCGGGACTAGAACCGGTGCCCATATGGGATGCCAGTGCCGCAGGTGGAGGATTAACCTAGTGTGCCATGGAGCCAGCCCCGGAAGGCCTCTTTTTCTCTCTCTCTTTCTCTGCCTTTCCTTTTCTCTCTGTAACTCTTTCAAATAAGTAAATAAATCTTTAAAAATATTTATTATCCTTGATGTCATAACCAGAAATAGTTTTGGTTTTTTTGTTTGTTTTTTTTGAGAGGCAGAGTGGATAGTGAGAGAGAGAGAGAGAGAGACAGAGAGAAAGGTCTTCCTTTTGCCGTTGGTTCACCCTCCAGTGGCCGCCACAGCTGGTGCGCTGCGGCTGGTGCACCGCACTGATCCGAAGGCAGGAGCCAGGTGCTTCTCTTGGTCTCCCATGGGGTGCAGGGCCCAAGCACTTGGGCCATCCTCCACTGCCTTCCCGGCCCAAAGCAGAGAGCTGGCCTGGAAGAGGGGCAACCGGGAAAGAATCTGGTGCCCTGACTGGGACTGGGACTAGAACCTGGTGTGCCGGTGCCGCTAAGTGAGGCTTAGCCTATTAAGCTGCGGCGCCGGCCCAGAAATAGTTTCTAATAGTGGTCATAAAGATTTATTTATTCTATGTTTCAAGAGTTTTATGGTTTTAGCACTTAAGTTTAGGGCGTTGATTGATTTTGGCTGAATTATTTTTATATGGTTTGAGATAGGAATACAACATTATTCCTTTGCATGTAGATATCCAGTTGTCCCAGCAGCATTTATGAAAAAAGGGAATTATTTCCCCATTGTCAAAAAATCAACTGACCATACACTTAAGGGTTTATGTCTATTCTATTTAGTTCTATTCCACTGATTTTTAATATGTTGATCCTTGTGCCAGTATTTTATTGTTCAGATTACTACAGCTTTGTATTTTATGTTTCTTTTTTTTTTTTTTATACTTATTTATTTATTTGAAAGAGTTACACAGAGAGAGAAGGAGAGGCATTGAGAGAGAGAGAGGTCTTCCATCTGTTGGTTCACTCCCCAATTGGCCGCAACAGCCAGAGCTGTTCTGACCCGAAGCTCTTCTATTTGGCTCAAAGGATGCAATGTCTTTCTCCTTTTCTCTAATGCTTTGCCTTTAAAAATAAATAAATCTTTATAAAGAGCAAAAATGTTAGACTTATTTTTTCAATATTGGGGAGGCTTTATTCAAGAAATCTGTCTCGTGCAGCAGGAAAATCAGCTTGGACCTCCATCCCTAGTGCTCACAGGAATAGCACTTGGTCACACCTGCCACTTGAGCTCCCACTTTGCAACTTTACAGCACCACCTGAAAATGTCCACTGTTTCTTCTCTTCAGAAATATAAGGATAAGAATTGGTCTTCTCAGTGTCTAACGTAGTAGCTCTTTTATCTCTTTTTAAAAGATTTATTTGTTTATTTGAAAGGCAGAGTTACAGATGCAGAGGCAGAGAGGTCTTCTTTCCTCTGGTTCACTCCCCAAATGGCTGCAACAGTCAGAGTTGCACCGATCGGAAGCCAGGAGCTGGGAACTTCCACTGCTTTTCCCAAGTCCTAGCAGAGAGCTGGATCAGAAGTGGAGCAGCCAGGTCTTGAACCAGTGCCCATATGAGATGCCAGCACCGCAAATGGCAGCTTTACCCACTACACCATAGTACTGACCCTGCTCTTTATCTTTTTTTAAAGATTTACTTATTTGCAAGATAGAATTAGAGGGAGAGACAGAGCTCTTCACTTGCTGGTTCACTCTTCAAATGGTTCCAACAGCTAGCGCTGGGCAAGGCCAAAGCCAGGAGCCTGGAGTCTCCATCTGGATCTCTCTTGTGGATGGCAGGGACCCAAACACTTGGGAGCAGACGCGATAAGGGCAACATAGAATATGAAGGCTAAAGGACCTCATTTCATAAAGTAACTCAATTACAGTTATAAATCTTGAGCCAATCATTTTTCTTTATTTATTTGAAAGCATAGTGACAGATAGAAAGATCTTCCATTCACTAGCTGACTCCCCAACTCCCCATATTGCCAGTAAGAACTGAGGCTGGGCCATGCCAGAACCAAGAGCCAGGAAGTCAATCTGGGTCTCCCCAGAATTTGAGCCGTTATCTGCTGCACATCACGTGCACATCAGCAGGAAGCTGGATCAGAAGTAGAGGTGGGACTCAATCTCAGGCACTTCATCCGGGGGTACAGGAGTTCCAAGTAGTGACTTAACTAACACTGTGTCACAGTGCCTGCCCTGATCACACTCTTTGGTTGATAGTTGGTAGAAATTTCTGAAAAGAACTTACAATGGTATTTAATTTTTGTGTTAATTTTTTTTGAACTTAAAAGTCTGTGCTCCTTAGAACCAAGGAAAGTTCTTCATCTGTGTAGATGGCTCATTTCGTTAATTTATGTATTTTATTCCTTCTGACCTGTGACCTTTGTTATAGGCAAAAAAAAGTAAAACCAAAATGCCATCATTGGTAAAGAAGTGGCAGAGTATCCAGCGTGAGCTAGATGAAGAGGAGAACTCCAGTTCCAGTGAAGAAGATCGGGAATCCACTGCACAGAAGAGAATTGAAGAGTGGAAACAGCAGCAGCTGGTCAGGTAAAACAAAAGAGATCACAGATGGGCTGGGTTGTGGCGGATGTGTTAGAACAGTTATTCTTAAAATCACAGCCCTTAGGGGCCGCTGTTGTAGCACAGTGGATTAATCTGCCACCTGCAACTCTGGCACCCGTTTGGACACTGTGACACTCCTGGCTGCTCCACTTCCAATCCAGCTCCCTACTGGTGGCCTGGGGAAAGCAGTGAAAGATGGTTTCAAGTACTTGGGCCTCTGCCACCCATGTGGGAGACCCAGATCAAGTTCCTCGATTTGGCCTGGCTCAGCCCTGGCCGTTGCAGCCACCTGGAGAGTGAACCAGCAAATGGAAGAACAACTCCCCCACCCACCTTGTAAGTCTGACTGAAAATAGATAAAAGTAAAAAAAAAAATCACGACAATTAGTGGAGAATATACCAGTATTAAGCTGACAGCATTTTTTTTTATTATTTATTTATGTATTTATTTATTTGAAAGAGTTACACAGAGAAAGGAGAGGCAGAAAGAGCAGTCTTCCAACTGCTGGTTCACTCCCCAATTGGCTGCAACGGCTGGAGCTTTGCCGATCAGGGGCCAGGAGCTTCTCCCTTGTCTCATGTGGGTGCTTTCCCAGGCCATAGCAGAGAGCTAGATCGGAAGTGGGACTGGAACTGGTGCCCATATATGTTTTTGGCACTGCAGGAGGCAGCTTTACCTGCCATGCTACAGTGCCATCCCCAAGCTGACAACTTTGAAACATTTTCTTAAACATGTTAGATCCACTTTAATTTTTATTTATTTGAGAGATAGGGTTCCCACTCACTCACTTTCAAATGCCCAGAAAAGCCAGGACTGGACTGAGCTGGGCCAAAGCCAGGAACTAGACATTCAATCCAGGTCTCCTGCATTATGTAGATGGTGGAAACCCAAATAGTTGAACCATCATCACTGCCTACCAGGATCTGCATTGCAGGAAACTTGAATCAGAAGCTAGAACCCGGAATTGAACCCAGGGACTCCAATATGGGACCCAGGCACCTTAACTGCTGTTCCAAAGACCTGCCCTGTTTCTGTTTGCTGGAATATAAAGTTTTCATTCTTTTCTAGTGAAGTAATCTGTCTGTTGTTTTCACAGTGGCATGGCAGAAAGAAATGCTAATTTTGAAGCCCTTCCTGAGGATTGGCGAGCAAGACTAAAGAGAAGGAAAATGGCTCCAAATACATAGTTAAAAAATTTTTTTTTAATTTATGTGTATGTGTATTCAGTTCAGAGTCTTAAAGCCATTGTCAAATAAACTATACATGTTATGGTGGAGAACATATCAATTTCCTGGGCAAGAGCATATACGTATAAATTTTTCACATTTGTGAAATGTGATTTTTCTGTTTTCCTGATGGGAGAGATTATTGGAATTGTTTTGAGCTGACTGCCTTTATTCTGGAGAACTTCGTGTCAGGTGTATTAATCATCACTCTGAAGACCATGTGGCGCCTATGAGTATGGCACGTTTAGCTGAGGACTCATTGACAAAAAGTAAAGGATTATCCTGCCTAATGGAGCTCATTTACTTCTACTCCAAAACAAGTGCAATTAAGAAGGCAGCTCTTTACTCTGTCTTGCTTGAATGGGATTGGCAGGATCTCTTTTTTGACCTCTTCCTCTGGTCTGCCACTCCTGAAGTGCTGGTCTTTGTGGCTTACCTTGTCCTGAGAGCCTTGCTGTAGTTCTCACAAATCATAGATCTGGCAGCTTGGTCATCTCACACACTAGGTAGCTTATTTCAGTGTTACACAGGCAGCAATAGCAGCAGGTGTTTATCCTTGATTTTGAGAATTTGTCCCTCAACTATGTGGTAGTAAAAGTGCTAAGAGCCACTCTGTGTATTAATGTATCTCCAGTGTCTTACGCTGTTCCAAGACTCACTCTCCTGTGTGTGAATGTGTTCTCCATGAAATTCCAATATTTAAAAAGCAGTTTATGTTCTGTACTTCTGTTGTATCGCAATCAGGTAAAAGTCACTTTAAACTGAAGAAAAGGCAAATTGTGTTTTAAGGCTGTTTATATTTCTCCAGTTTGTGACCATGTAAATTTGTATATATGCACTAATAAAGTTTTTTTATACTTCCGATTGGTTATCCTTTTGCTCTTCTAAGCCTGTTACTCCATGGTTATGTAACCAGGACTTACGTCATGTCTGAATTTTTTTTCCTGATCAAACGTGGTTCCAGGCCTGTGCAAACACTGAAGAACAGCATACAGGAAAAAGAAGAGCAGCAGGATCTTGAGCAGGGTGTGGCGACACACGGGGCAGAATCAGAAAAACAGGCCTCACTCCACATGTGCTATATGACCCAAATTTTTGGAGCGTGTACCCTAAAATACGAGCTAATGTTTGACCTATTTAAGTCCTGGAAATGATGTAATGTAGTTAACATTTTGGAAATTAGAAAAACGGTGCTTTATCGTTTTTTATAATAGTAATATATGGTGGATATAAAAGATATATACATACAGTCTTACTCATATAAAGGTAACCAAAGACAATTGTTTGGATTTATTCCAGTATATTTCTATGCATATAGTTTACACTTTTTACCTGATCATGTGTTGGATTTTATTTACCATTATGCTAATATCGGGATTACCATTTTTGTACGTCGAATTGTTATTTGCATAGAGTAAATTTCTGCAAATAAATTAAAGGCTATCAACTAGTTAATAAAGCTTTTGTCTTAACTGCCTCACGATTTTCCAGACTTGCAGCAGTTGTTGAGAAGCACCATTTCCTGAAAGGTAGCGATTAAGACAGTCCAAACGTGCGGCTGTAACTCGCTAACTTTGTTCCTCGTAGTTTTTCAGTGTGGACGGTAATTTTAGCATTCTTGCTAGGGGCTTCGTGAGAATCTAGAGCAACACTGCGGGGCCGGGGGAGCAGCACCCGGAGCAGTAAGTTGCCTAGAGCACGCGCCCTGCACTGCTGGCAGGCATAGTGGTCCGCTGCCTAACGCTGTGTCGATCCGGGTTCTAGTCCGCCTGGGCCGCGGTCCCGCCCCCTTTGCTGCTTGGGGGCGGAGCCTGGCTCCCGGAAGGAGGCGTCCCGTCCCCCGCCTTCCTTCCGCCTTCCGCTCGCGGTTGCTAGGCTACGCGGGCCCTCGCAGAAAGGTGGCGAGTGTGTCCGCTGGTGCATTGCCCAGCCTCTGCGGCGTGCAGCGTGCGCCCTCCTCACCCAGGCTGCCCTGCCGCCGCGGGCGCAGCGCCCACCTCCTGCCCGGTACTGGCGGGGGCGCGGGGCGGTCGCACCCCTGGCTCTTCCCTCCTGGGAAATCCCTGCTCCATCCTCCCCGGTCCTTTAGGAAAACCAACCCGCAGCCTCTGAACCCCAGAGTTCGGCACTTAGGGTCCACTGTCCCTGCCCCCGACCTTTCGTTTCGGTCCGCCGCGTTTCTTCCCTCGCTGTGGCGTCCTGGGGCATCGGCCCTCCCGGCGCCCCGCGGGGAGAAGGCAGAACGCGCCGCCCTCGCTCGCTCAGTTGCGCCTCCTGGGCTCAGGGTGGGAACCGGGCCGGGGCCGTGTCCGAGGCGAGGCGAGGCGGCGGCGGCGGTTTCATTTGCCCCGTTTGGTTTTGTAGCCTCTGCTGTGTAATCAGCCGCCCATTCGGAGATCGGGCAGGGGTGGCGGCTGCACGCGGTGTCGCTGAGTGGGCTAGAGCAGACCATGCGGAAGTAACATGTTCCCGGCGCTGGACACGGAGCTAAAGCAGGAGGTTGGTAGGCTGCCCTCTGCCGGCGCCTCGCGGGAGTGCAGCGCCGGGTCCGGAGGGTGCGCGCGTTCCACTGCTGAGTATCTGAGAGGCCTCTCCTCTTACAGACCCTTGCTGACCCCTATGAAGACTTTATGTACCATCACCTCCAGTACTATGGCTACTTTAAAGGTAACACCACCTACCTAACTCGCGTCATCTTTCCGGGGTTCAGGAGGTGCATTGTTTCATTAGCTGGGAGAGCTGAGATTTTTCCAGTCCACTGGTGAAAAGCATTTCTTTAATCCGATCATCAGCAGTGTCACCTCTGTTAAGTGACAACAGAGTCTGTATACAGGGTTACAGGGTCTGTTTCTGGGCTGTCTATTCTGCCTTTTATTACTTTTTTTTGGTCTGACCTTACACCAATATCATCACCCCTCTTTTTAAAAACTATGTATTTATTTTCATTTTATTTGAAAGGCAGAAAGACATTGATGGAAAGACAGGTGGAGAGAGAGCTTCCATCTGTTAATTCACTCCCTGAAACTCCTAGAAGAGCCAGAGCTGGGCCAGGCCAAAGCCAGGAGCCCGGGGTGCCATCTAGTCTCCTGTGTGGGTGGCAGGGACCCAAGTAGTTGAGCCATCATCTGCAGCCTCCCGGAGTGCACATCAGCAGGAGGTTGGATCGGAAGCAGAGTAGCTACGGGTGTCTCAGGCAGAGGCTGCCACATCTCAGCTGCTACCTGGAAATGCGTGTCATCCCATTTTGTCCTTCAAAACTGACTTGGCGGGGCTGACATTGTGCTGCAGTGGGTTAAGCCTCCGCCTGCAATGCTGGCATCCCACGTGAGCACTGCTTTCCGAGGCTGTAGCAAGGGAGCTGGATCAGGACTGGAACAGGCACCCATATGGGATGCTGGCACTGCAGGCTGGGGCTTTAACCTGCTGCGCCACAGCGCCGGCCCCGAGATAGAGTTTTTAACATTGGGTTTTTTCCTAGCAAACTTGCTGACGTTTCTTTTTAACTATTTCCTTTTCGAAGTGATTAAGAATTTGTTGAAAGAGAACTGAATTTCCAGCTTGCCGGACTCAGTGGGCGCCCTCAGGACAAAGAGGCTGCAACTTGGCGCTCCGCCCCCACTCTGAGATCTGCCTCACTTGGGCTCCGCTGTCTTGGCAGCTCCTGCGTCTTTTGCCTCCCACGCCCTTTCTAGTGCTGCTCCTCAAATCTCCACCTCACTCTCCCATTTCCTCAGTATAAAATGGGAATAATTATGCGTATTCGGCTTACATTGCCACCAGAAAGTCTTTGAAAAATGGGTTGTGTTCCTGGTGCAGAGCTGTGGTGGTCGGTTTGGAGAGTAGAGGTTTTGATTTTGCCCTTGACTTAGAGGTGGTGAGCCAGCCTGCCAGCAACTTTAATTAAGCCGCCTGTTCTTAGGACAAAGAGGCAGTTTACCAAACTCGGCTACGCAGCAGCACCTTTGGAAGAAGACCCCTCGGCACCAGCTGCACGGATCTTTCGGGGAAAGAGAGAACTTGATACCGGACACTTTGCAGAGAGAGAAGCTTCTATGTGAGTGATCATCAGTGTGTGTGACTCCTAGAACCTGGCGGTCTCGACAGCTCCTTCAGGTGTTCAGAAGAGCATGGCTTACTGTGGGGGAGACCACGGGGGCAGGGGGCAGCTATACCTTCTGAACTGTGTTCCTCTGAACTGTGTTCCTCCAAATTATTGGAGAATTTGTTAAAACTCTTTCCTCCAGAGAATAAGTTTTTGATGGATATATGTATTTTTTTTAAAAAAAGTTCTTTGCATAAGAGTAGAGGAAGTAAAGCCCAGCTAGCTTAAGCAACAATAATTTCTTAAAGGGACATAATTTTTTTTCCCAAGGACAGGAATGCTGTTGAATTTATCCCTTAACATATCTTTTTTTAAATTAATTTATTTATTTGAAAGGCAGAGTTAGAGAAAAGGAGAGACGGAGAAATATCTTCTACCCACTGGTTCACGTCCCAAATGGTGGTAATGGCCAGGTCGAGGCTGGGCTGAAGCCAGGAGCCAGAAGATTCTTCCAGGTCTCCCACATGATGTCAGGGGCCCAAGCACTTGAGTCATCTTCCGCTGCATTAGCAGTAGCTGGCTCAGATGTGGAGCACCTGGGACATGAACCGGTGCCTGTATGGGCTTCTGGCACCTCAGACAGCAGCCCAACCCCAGCGTATATCTTACCAAGCATCATTCCATTTCTCTTTTCTCCACACCCTCCCCTCTGAGCTACAATCATCTCTCAATATCTAGTCAGCCTCCTAGTTTGTCTTCTGGATTCTCTTTTCTTTCTTCTTCTTTTTTTTATTGTGCAAATCTGATTGTATCCTGTTTTACTTAAAACATTTGAATACACAAGATTCATTCAAAAGCCATAAAACTTAAGAATGTGGCGGCTCACTTGGCTAATCCTCCGCCTGTGGCGTCAGCACCCCGGGTTCTAGTTCCAGTTGGGTCGCCGGATTCTTTCCCAGTTGCTCCTCTTCCAGTCCAGCTCTCTGCTGTGGCCCGGGAGGGCAGTGGAGGATGGCCCAAGTGCTTGGGCCCTGCACCCGCATGGGAGACCAGGAGGAAGCACCTGGCTCCTGGCTTCGAATCGGCGCAGTGCACCGGCCGTAGCGGCCATTTGGGAGGTAAACCAACGGAAGGAAGACCTTTCTCCCTGTCTCTCTCTCTCACTGTCTAACTATCTGTCAAATTAAAAAAAAAAAAAAGGTAACAACAGGGGAGTGAGGAGAGATGGGTCGGTGGTTACAGTGTTACATATAGTAATAAGTTCTAGTGTTCTGTTGCACAGGGTGACTTTAATTGAAGTTGTTAAACATAAGGGGAGATGCTTAACTTCACTCTTAATTAAAGATGCAAATCGGGACTGGCACTGTGGCGTAATGAGTAAACTCGCCCCTGCAGTGCTGGCATCTCATATGGGCACCGGTTCGAGTCCCAGCTGCTCCTTTTCCAATGCAGCTCTCTGCTGTAGCCTGGGAAAGCAGTAGAAGATGGCCTAAGTCCTTGGGCCCCTGCACCCATGTGGGAGACCTGGAGGAAGCTCCTGGTTCCTAACTTTGGATCAGCGCAGCCCCAGCCATGTAGCCAACTGGCGAGTGACCAGTGGATGGAAGACTCTCTCACTGCCTTTCCTTATCTTTCTATGTAACTCTAACTTTCAAATAAATAAAACTTTTTTTTTTCTTTTTGACAGGCAGAATTAGACAGTGAGAGAGAGAGACAGAGAGAAACGTTTCCCTTCCATTGGTTCACTCCCCTAATGGCCGCCATGGCCAGCCGATCCGAAACCAGGAGCCAGGTGCTTCCTCTTGGTCTCCCATGCGGGTGCAGGGCCCAAGTACTTGGGCCATCCTCCACTGCACTCCCGGGCCACAACAGAGAGCCGGACTGGAAGAGGAGCAACTGGGACAGAATCCAACACCCGAACTGGGACTAGAACCCGGGGTGCCGGCGCTGCAGGCGGAGGATTAGCCTAGTGAGCTGCGGCGCCGGCCAAATAAATAAAATCTTAAAAAAAGATACAAATCAAAATATGATGGTACCATTTTTTAAATTACAAGATTTGGGCAGAAAGCAAAATAGAGAAAAATACATACCCATTACAGGTTAGAGTATAGGGGAACAAACTGCTGTTGGAAGTGTGAATAAAAAGAACAATTTATTTATTTGATTTGTTTTCCCTACTTTTTAAAAATGTATTGATTTGAAAGGCAGAGCAACAGAGAGAGAGACCCTCCATCTGCCAATCCATTCCCCAAAAGCCAACAACAGCTGGAGCTGGGCCAGGTTGAAGCCAGCAGCCTAGAACTCTACCTGGATCTCCGACATGAGTGGCAGGGCCTCAACCACTTGAGCCGTCACCTTCCGCCTCCCAGGGTCACATTAGCAGGAATCTGGATCAGAAGCAGAGTAACTTGGACTTGAACCAGGCATTCTAATATAGGATGCGGATGTCCCAAGCACTCAATCTGCTGTGTACAATGCCCACGCTATTTGATTTATTTGAAAGAGAGACCCAAAAACAGACAGAGATCTTCCATCCAGAGGGTTCACTCTTCAAACGCCTGTAGCAGCCATGGCTGGACCAGGCCAAATCCAGGTATCCCATGTGGCTGGCAGGAATCCATGTACTTACTTGAGCCATGACCACCTGCCTCCCAAGGTGTGCATTAGCAAGGAAGCTGGAGTAGAGAGAGCAGAGCCAGGACTTGATACGCTATAGTATGGGATGTAGGCATCCCATGCCAAAAACCCACTCCAGGAGACTATTTTGGAGAGGCAATTGGCAATTGCTATAAAAATTAAAACTGTATTAACCCTTGATGCAGCAATTCTGTTTTCAGAGAAGTATTTTATTTTTGCTCTCGTGATTGTCAAGAAGGTTCTTCTCTGGCCCAGAGCCCCTGGAGAGAATAGAACAGGAGGAGTTGAGGAAGTTGAGCGAAGGAGACTGGTCGGGGTGGGACAGCTGAGGACCACCTAACCCTCCTTTCTGATTTCTCCTGCCCTACTTGCTGAGACTCAAAATTCTCATAAGAAACAGCTGTCACTCTTTAACTAATAGAAGACATAAAAATATAAAATGTGCACTAATTGATCATTTTTTTGAATATTTGTTTATTTGAAATGCAGAGTTACAGAGAGGCAGAGGCAGAGAGAGAGAGAGAGAGGTATCTTCCATCCACTGGTTCACTCACCAAATGGCCACGATGGCTGGAGCTGGGCTAATCCGAAGCCAGAAGCCAGGAACTTCTTCTAGGTCTCCCATCCAGATGCAGGGGCCCAGGCACTTGGGCCATCTTCTGCTGCCTTCCCAGCCCAGAGCTGGGTCCAGAGAGCTGGATCGGAAGAGAAGCAGCAGGCTAGAACCGATGCCTGTATGGGATGCTGGCACTGCAGGTGGTGGCTTTACCTACTACACCACAGCACCAGCCACTGTAATTGATAATTTTTTTTTCTGTTTGACTCTTGCAGTGAGGAAGATAGTTTCTTTACCTTCCCAACAGAACAGTTACTATGTTTCTTTGTTACTGGTCTTTTTAACCAGCAAGGTAAAGGACAAAACAATGGGTCAAAATCTGCTTTTTTTTTTTTTTTTTTTTTTTGACAGACAGAGTGGACAGTGAGAGAGAGAGAGAGAGAGAAAGGTCTTCCTTTGCCGTTGGTTCACCCTCCAATGGCCACCGCGGCCGGCGCATTGCGGCCGGCGCACCACGCTGATCCGATGGCAGGAGCCAGGAGCCAGGTGCTTTTCCTAGTCTCCCATGGGGTGCAGGGCCCAAGCACCTGGGCCATCCTCCACTGCACTCCCTGGCCACAGCAGAGAGCTGGCCTGGAAGAGGGGCAACCGGGACAGAATCCGGCGCCCCAACCGGGACTAGAACCTGGTGTGCCAGCGCCGCTAGGCGGAGGATTAGCCTAGTGAGCCGCGGCGCCGGCAAAATCTGCTTTTTAAAAAAAAAAAAAAAATGGAATAGGTTTGGGTATTGCAGATTAAGCCACTGCTTGCAATGTCTTCATCCAGTATTTGAAGTGCCTGGGGGTGGAGTCCTGCCTCCATTTCTGATCCAGCTTCCTGCTAATGCACACTGGGAGGCAGCAGGTGGTAGCTCAGGTACTTGGGTCTCTACAACCCATGTGGAACACCCAGGTGGAGCTCCTGGCTCCTGGCTTCAGCGTGGCCCCGCTCTAGCTGTTGTGGGCATTTGAGGAATGAATTAACAAATGGAAAATTCTCTCTTTCTGTGTGTGTGTGTGTGTGTGTGTGTTGCACTCCCTTTCAGATAAGTAATAAAGACAAAAAGGAATAGATAAGGTTAGAAAATTCAAGTGACATTAAAAAATACAAAATGAGGGGCCAGCACTGTGGCGCAGTAGGTTAATCCTCCGCCTGCGGCACCAGCATCCTGTATGGGTGCCAGTTTGAGTCCTGGCTGCTGCACTGCCGATCCAGCTCTCTGCTATGGCCTGGGAAAAGCAGTAGAAGATAGCCCAAGTCTTGGGCCCCTGCACCCACGTGGGAGACCTGGAAGAAGCTCTTGGCTTCTGGCTTCAGACCGGCTCAGCTCTGGCCATTGTGGCCACTTGGGGAGTGAACCAGGAGATGGAAGACCTTTCTCTCCATCCTTCCGTCTCACTGTCTATACATCTACTTTTCAAATAAAAAGAAAAAGAAAAAAATACAAAATGAAAGCTAAAAGCACTCCTTTTTTTAAGATCTGAAGTAAACTCTGAGTGGGACTGCTGGATGCGCACACACTCAATCTTCTTGCCAAACTACTCTCCAGAAAATTTGCACCAGTAATTGTTGTTTACAGGTGTTTGCTTACCCCTTTGTCAGGATGAGAGTAAAACATGTCAAGTCTTTCCCATCTATTAGGTAACAAACTGGCATTTTCATTATGACTTACATTTTTAAATTACAAATGAGATTCAGCAGCTTTATCATTCTTCAGATATTTATTGCCTTCTCATCCCCATTAAACCATGGAAAATTTTATATATATATATATATATATACACACACACACACACACACACATACATACAAGGGCCCAAAGTGGGAGAGGAAATGAGAAGGGCGGAGGTGAGGGCAGTGGGCACAAAAAAGATTCCTAGAACAAGCGTTGTCTTTCTTCCTCTTTCTAGGGCCTACCTGTTTACCTTCAGCTGGGCGCGCTCAGATAGAATCTGTAAGCAGAGGTATTTCCTGCCCTTCCCACCAGGAAATTCAGACTCCGGTATTGGAATAGGTCCCGAGCCCTTGCCCTCCCACCGGATCCAGGAAGCACATGACAAGCCTGGGGTCCGCGTCTGGTGGGCACTCAGGGGCTTCAGCCTTTAGTTTCCCCCCTTAATTTCTTTTTCTAACTCCCTGAGAGCCTTTCTCCCCCCCCCTTCTTCATTGTCTCCCCCATGAACTCCTTTTCCTCTCTTTTGCCCCTTCCGTCCCCTGTTCCTCACCTGTGCACTCCTTGTTTGATAAGACTGTCCTCTGAATGGGCTTATGATGGACCTGGAATTTAATTTGAGATTGTTTCACTGTAGTTAATAAAGGCTTTTTTTTCCTAAAAAGCAAAAGATAAAAAAAAAAAAACCCTTTTCCTAAATTGCTAAGGGTGGATGGAATGTGCCACGTTAGATAACTTTTGATTCATCATAACCCATTCTCGAAATGTCTTGGACCCTTAACATGTTTTTATAAAGCTTTCTCTGAAGTGCACCAAAACTTTATATTTAAATATTCAGCACTAAATGCAGAATATTGACTTAACGTTTTATGGTTTAGAATCTGTCATGCTGGACCAAACAGTAAAGGAAGCCGTAGGGCAGGATTGTGGATCTCTGCTTGTGTTTTAATACCTGTATTTAATGGTTGTATCTTAACACAGCGCAGAAGGTTACGTAGCTGTTGCGGAGGAGGAGTGAGAGTTCCCAGGGAGGAAGGGGAGGAGAGTGTTCACCTGTTCCCTTTCCCTGTGACAGGTTCCCTTATGCTGAGCTCTCCACTTCTTCGGACCAGACAGCTCATTTACAATGAGTTGGATGATGTAAACCCGCGTCTCCAAGAGCCCCGAGAGCTTTTTCCCTTCTTCTCCGGCAAAGGGCCGCTGCAGGCGCCACGGTGGCCAATAGAGTGCGAGGTCATCAAGGAGAGCATTCGTCATATTGGTAATGTGGCCCGGGTGTGACCACGGCCTTCTCCCCTACCTGCTGAAAGACAAGGCGGGACTGCGTCGTCTGTTGACTCACCCTGAGAAGACGGAACGCTGGGGAGCTCACAGACACTCACCAGAGCCCAAAGTTATACCAGCGCGGGTGTTTGACTTAGCAGTTAGGCCGCCAGCTGGGATGCCAGTGTCTGTATCATAGCACCTGGGCAGTTCCCGCCTCTGACTCCTGACTCCAGCTTCCTGCTGGTGCTCACCCTGGGAGGACAGCAGTGCTGCCTGCAGCTGGGTTCCTGCCGCCCACGTGGGAGACCTGGATTGAGTTCCCGGCTCCTAGCGTCGCCCCTCCCCCCAACTCACTGTTACAGGCATTTGGGTATCTCACTCTCTCCATCTCACAAATGAATAAGAGAGTGGATAGTTTAATTTTTTAAAAAGGTACACTCCTGTATAAACTGGAATGCTTCTGAGTTCTTTGGAATAAGGGTACTTTATTTATAGAGTCTAAGAAATATAAATATTTAAGGGCGGCACCACGGCTCAATAGGCTAATCCTCTGCCTGCGGCGCCAGCACACCGGGTTCTAGTCCCGGTCGGGGCGCCGGATTCTGTCCTGGTTGCCCCTCTTCCAGGCCAGCTCTCTGCTGTGGCCCAGGAGTGCAGTAGAGGATGGCCCAAGTGCTTGGGCCCTGCACCCCACGGGAGACCAGGAGAAGCACCTGGCTCCTGGCTTTGGATCTGTGCAGTGCACCGGCCACAGTGGCCATTGGGTGGTGAACCAACGGTAAAGGAAGACCTTTCTCCCTGTCTCTCTCTCTCTCACTGTCCACTCTGCCTGTCAAAAATTAAAAAAAAAAAAAAGAAATATAAATATTTAAGTCTTTTTTTTTTGCATCACTGGTCATATCTGAGCCTTTGATGCAAATATAATCTCTTGCATTCATTTTATGAAGCACTTGCAGAAGTGGGTTGCATTGAAAAATGGGAACTTTTTAAATTCCTGGGATACTTAGGGCCATCTGTCATCATGTCTCTCTTTTTTTTTTTTTTTTAAGATTTATTTATTGAGGCCAGCACTGTGGCATAGCAAGTAAAGCCTTTTAGATTTATTTATTTATTTGAAAAGCAGAGTTACAGAGAGGCAGAGAGAGAGAAAGAGAGGCCTTCCATCCTCTGGTTCACTGCCCAGATGGCCACAACAGCCAGAGCTGCACCAATCCAAAGCCAGGAGCCAGGAGCTTCTTCCGGGTCTCCCACATGGGTACAGGGGCCCAAGGAAGGACCTGGGCCATCCTCCACTGCATTCCCATGCCACAGCAGTGAGCTAGATTGGAAATGGAGCAGCCAGGACTTGAACCAGTGTCCATATGGGATGCCAGCACTGCAGGTGGTGGCTTTACCCACTTACGCCACAGCAACGGCCCCATGTCTCTACTTTAGACACTGGATAAACAAGTGGATGTTTCTTATTTCTTACTCCCCTCTTAGAATATTCATTCAATAATATATATTGGCATTTATCATATGCTAAGCACAGTGGTGCTAGAGGTACAGTGGTGAGCAAGATAGAGACGCCCAGAGCTCATGGACTTACTGCAAGGGAAGCTAAACACTTCACCAGGCAGTTACATAGAGTTTGGGCCCTCTGGGAACCCCTGACCCAGCGAGGGATCTGTGTGGGTTTCCAGGAGTTGACGTTTTAGTTGAGATCTGAAGGATGAGTCAGAAGTGATCCAACTGAGAAGATCAAAGGAAAGTGTTCCGGTTAAAATAGAACATGGTGTGTGTGGGCATCCATGGGACGTTGAACATGGGAGACAGGGATGAGGCTGAAAGTATAGACAGAGGCTCACCGTGTTCTCAACTGGGTCCAGCTCTGCTCTTGGAATGTTGGAAATAGGGGAGGGGGTAATGACTAGGATCATCTGCTCTTACCCTGCACAATTTTTACATAAAAGTTCAAGTTGATCTTGCCAGACACTAGGATTTTGCTATTAAAACAGTAGAACCAAATGTGTATTCAATAAAAACAAAATTCCTTTGAGGATTTGGGACTCAGTTCTAAGAGGGGAAAAAAAGTGGGAAGCTGAAATTTAATAACGAGTTATTGCAATGGTAACCCACCATCTTTTAAAAATTTTAAAAGGAGCCGGCACTGTGGCGTTAGTAGGGTAAGCCTTCGCCTGCACACCAGCATCCCATATGGGAGCCAGTTCAAGTTCCGGCTGCTCCACTTCCACTCCAGCTTCCTGCTAATGACCTAGGAAAGCAGTGGGAGACCTGGAAGAAGCTCCTGGCTTCAGATTGGAAGCAATATTAATATTAAATAAATATAATTGATATATTTATTAATATATAAATATTTTAAACTGATCTTTAAAAATCAGTGTTCAAAAATTTGAAGGAAACTTATTAACAAGCACATCATTATTTATGTATTTATTTTAAATATTTATTTTACTTGAAAGTCAGAGTTACACAGAGAAGGAAAGGCAGAGAGAGAAAGAGGTCTTTCATCCGCTGGTTCACTCCCCAGTTGGCTATAACTGCTGGAGCTGGGCCAATGCAAAGCCAGGAGCCAGGAGCTTCTTCTGGGTCTCCCACGTGGGTGCAGGGGCCCAAGGGCTTGGGCCATCTTCCACTGCTTTCCCAGGCCACAGCAGAGAACTGGATCAGAAGTGGGACAGCCAGGATGCAAACTGGCACCCATATGGGATGTCGGCACTGCAGGCAGCAGCTTTACCCACTCCACGACAGCATCAGCCCCAAGCACATTATTTAAACTGAATTGTGAAAGCCTCATCATGTCCCATCACCTGTAAGAAAAGAAATTAGCATTGTCTTTCACTGAGTTGTGTCTTTATGGCTTTCATCAATGGCTACTGTGCTTAAAATAATATGGAGATGTTGCTATAGTCCTTTATGAGAAAAATTTTTTAAGATTTATGTTTTATTTATTTGAAAGGCAGAGGTACACAGAGAGGAAGAGAGAGAAAAATATCTTCCATCTGCTTGTTCACTCCCCAAATGACCACAATGGCCTGGCCCAGCCCAGGCCAAAGTTAGGAGCCTGGAGCTTCTTCCAGGTCTCCCTTGTGGGTACAGGGGTCCAAGCACTTGTGCCGTCTTCCACTGCTCTCCCAAGCGCATTGGCAGAAAGCTGGATTGGAAATGGTCCACTTCCCACATATGGGATGCCAGCATTGCAGGCAGAGACTTTACTTGCTACATCACAATGCTGGCCCCAAGAAATCTTTTTAAATTCAGAGCAAATGAAGAAATAATTGACAGACTTAATTCTTTAATAGTAGTAAAAAGGATGCAGCTGCCTGTGTTCTGACTTTAAGGCTGCTTGATGTCGAATTTTGCAGAGCTTTTGTAGCAACAGTTTTGACCTTTGTAGCTTATTTTTCAGTCTTCTGTTGGTTATTTCATTGTAGGTGTTTTTTGTTAAAAATCTCCTTAACAGTCTCTATGGAAAGAAGCAAGACCTAATTAATTTATAAATTTATACATAAATATATATTTATAAACAAACTGGAAACTTGAGATGGGAATTTGGTTTGATTCTAGCCATTTGAATAATTATTATAATTTTTATATAAGTTCTGATAATGCCTTTAATATTGTTGCTTATTTTGTGCTTTTTAATTGTCTTTCAGAGTGGGTTCCACCTCAGCCAGAATATTTCTATCAATCTACAGGAAATGAAGAGGTACCAGAAATTGTAGGAGAGGAAAAAGGCACAGTTGTCTATCAGTTGGAATCAGGTATTGTCATTACACTCAACAGTGAGTAATTAATTGGGACAGTAAGTATATTTTGTACTAACAGAAGTTATTTTAAAAATTCCTGGAGTGTGGTTGCTGAGTTTGCCATTTTCATCATAATGAAAAAAAAAGATGGTCAATGCACCTAAAACCCAAATGACTTTCTATAAGAAGTGTGGCAAGCATCAGCCTCACAAAGTGACCCAGTGTAAGAAACGCAGGATTTCTTGTATGCCCAGGGGAAGAGGCGCTGTGACCGGAAGCAGAGTGGCTATGGTGGGCAGACAAAGCCAGTTTTCTGGAAGAAAGCTAACATCATGAAGAAGATTCTGCTACAGCTTGAATGTGTTGAGCCCAACTGCAGATCCAGGAGGACACTGGACATAAGAGATGCAAGCATTGTGAACTGGATGGAGATAAGGAGAGAAAGGGCCAACTGATCCAGTTCTAAACTTGGGGATTTTTTTTTCTTTTTTGGCTCTTAATTTTGTGCAAAAAATGCTGTGGATGTAAAAATTAACCTGTAGGGGCCGGCGCCGTGGCTCACTAGGCTAATCCTCCGCCTTGCGGCGCCGGCACACCGGGTTCTAGTCCCGGTCGGGGCACCGGATTCTGTCCTGGTTGCCCCTCTTCCAGGCCAGCTCTCTGCTGTGGCCAGGGAGTGCAGTGGAGGATGGCCCAAGTCCTTGGGCCTGCACCTGCATGGGAGACCAGGAGAAGCACCTGGCTTCTGGCTTCTGATCAGCGCAGTGCGCCGGCCGCAGCAGGCCAGCCACGGCGGCCATTGGAGGGTGAACCAATGGCAAAAGGAAGACCTTTCTCTCTCTCTCTCTCACTGTCCACTCTGCCTGTCAAAAATAAATAAATAAATAAAATTAAAAAAAAGTAACCTATAGGAAAATAAATACAGTGATATTCATTACCCCCCCCCCCAATTTCTAGTGTAGAAGTGGTGTTTAGCTCAGGGGTTAAGACACAGCTGGCAATGATCACATCCCAAATCTGAGTTCCTGGCTCTGCTTCCAATTCTAGCTTCTTGCTGATGCACACCTGAGAGGCAGTAGGTGATGGCTCAAGTAGTTGGATCCAGTTGCACATATGGAAGACCTATAATGCATTCCTGGCTCCTGGCTCCTGGCTCCTGGCTTTGGCCTGGTCCAGCCCCAGCTATTGTAGGAATCTGAGAAGTAAACCAGCAGGTAGAAGAATTTATCTCCAACTTTATACCTTTCAAATAAAATGAAAAAAAAAAAGTAAAGATGTATTTACTTATTTGAAAGAGTTACACAGAGAAAGAAGGAGAGGCAGAGAGAGAGAAAGAGGTCTTCCATCCGATGGTTCACTCCCCAACTGGCCACAATGGCCGGAGCTGCGCAGATCCGAAGCCAGGAACCAGGAGCTTCTTCCAGGTCTCCCTCACGATTGCAGGGGCCCCAGCACCTGGACCATCTTCTACTGCTTTCCCAGGCCATAGCAGAGAGCTGGATTGGAAGAGGAACAGCCAGTACTAGAACCGGTGCCCAAATGGGATGTCGGCACTTCAGACCAGGGCTTTAACCCACTGCCCCACAGTGCCGGCCCCTGAAAAAATTTTTTTAAAGATTTATTTATTTGAAAATCAGTTACACAGAGAGAGGAGAGGCAGAGAGAGAGAGAAGGAGAGAGAAAGGTCTTCCATCTGCTGGTTCACTCCCCAATTGGCCACAATGGCCAGAGCTGTGCTGATTGAAGGCCAGGAGCCAGGAGGTGCTTCTGGGTCTCCCACGTGGGTGCAGGGGCCCAAGCCCATGGGCCATCTTCCACTGCTTTCCCAGGCCTTAGCAGAGAGCTGGATCGGAAATGGAAATGGAGCAGCCAGGTCGTGAACCGGCACCCATATAGGATGTTGGCACTTCAGGCCAGGGCATTAACCCACTGCGCCACAGCACCAGCCCCAAATAAAATGAAAATTTAAAAATTAACCATCATGAAATGCAAGATACTTTTTTAAAAATATTTTTTTTAATTCGAAAGGCAGAAGTTAGAGAGAGGGAGAGGGAGACAAAGATAGAGAGAGATCTTCCATCTACTGGTTTACTCCCCAAATACCCGCAATGGTCAGAGCTCAGCTGATCCAGAGCCAGGAGCCAGGAGCTTCTTCTGGGTCTCCCATGTGGGTGCATGTAAGTACTTGGGCCAACCTCTGATGCTTTCCCAGGTGCATTAGCAGAGAGCTGGATCGGAAGTGGAGCGTTTTACAGCTTCTCCTTTGTTATTCCCATCTGAAAAATGAGGTGTTGGATCATCTTTGGGCAGCTTGCTCCTCTTTTCTGTTTTTTTTTTTTTTTTTTTAATATTTATTTTATTTATTTGAAAGACAGAGTTACAGAGAGAGGCAGAGACAGAGAGAGGGAGGTCTTCCATCTATTGGTTCACTCTGCAGATGGCCACAATGGCCAGAGCTGAACTGATCTGGAGCCAGGAGGTAGGAGCTAGGAACTTCTTCCAGGTGTCCCAGTGATGAAGAACAAATTGTTGGGAAGAAAAGTTACCAAACTGATTCAGGATGAAATGAAAAGTCTGAAGAGATTAATACAAAGAAATTGAATTAGTAATTTAAAATCTTCCCACAAAGAAAACCCAGGCTGAGACAGGGTTGTTTCTTTTTTTTTTAATTTTTACATTTTTAAATTTTTTTTAAAGATTTATTTGTTATTTATTTGAAAGAGTTACACAGAGAGAGGAGAAGCAGAGAGAAAGAGAGAGAGGCCCTCCATCTGATGGTTCACTCCCCAGTTGGCTGTAATGGCCGGAGCTGTGCCGATCCGAAGCCAGGAGCCAGGAGCTTCCCGGGTCTCCCATGTGGGTGCGGGCTTGGGCCATCCTCCACTGCCTGCCCAGGCTATAGCAGAGGGCTGGATAGGAAGAGGAGCAGCCGGGTCTCAAACCGTTGCCTATATGGGATGCTGGTGCCTCAGGCCAGGGCTTTAACCCGCTGCACCACAGTGCCCGCCCCCTTTTTTTTTTTAGTCATCAAAAAAATTTGAAGACTGACTCCAGTGACACATTATGACCAAATGGAATTTATACTTGGAACGCACAAATAATTTTAACATCAGAAAATCAATTATGAAATAAAATATTTAAATGGAATAAAGGGCAAAACCACATAGCACAAAAAAAATAAGACAGAAATGGCAGCATAAGGGATCCCAGAATCAGCTCCTCTGAAGTAATTAAACTAGCAAAAGCTAGTGGTTGGCGCTGTGGCATAGTAGGCCAAGCCTTCACTTATAGCGCTGGCGTCCCATATGGGCACTGATTCCAGTCCCAGCTGCTCCTCTTCTGATCCAGCTCTCTGCAGGTGGCCTGGGAAAACAGTGGAAGATGCCCAAGTGCTTGGGCCCCTGCACCCACTTGAGAGACCTGGGGAAAGCTCCTGGCTTTGGATTGGCACAGCTCTGACCATCGCATCTGTTTGGGGAGTGAACCAGCCAATGGAAGATATTTTTCTCTGTTTCTCCCTCTCTCTCTGTATCTCTGCCCCTCAAGAGGTGATAATTTAAAAAAAAAAAAAAAAAAAAGCATTTCCAGAACTGTTGGATCTGAATGTAATCAGCAATTTAGGGAGAGTGCTTAATGAAGAAACCAACCAGGAGAAGCACCTGGCTCCTGCCTTTGGATCAGCGTGGTGCGCCGGCCATGGTGCGCCGACCATAGTGCGCCGGCCACGGCGGCCATTGGAGGGTGAACCAACAGCAAAGGAAGACATTTCTCTCGCTGTCTCTCTCTCACTGTCCACTCTGCCTGTAAAAAAAATAAATAAATAAAGGGAAAAAAAAGTTTGTGGCATTTTTCTTCCACCATCTTGGCAGAGGCCATGGGGAACAATCCGTGTTCCTAGACTCACATACTGGTGTTTGTGTGTTTGTGAAAGACAATATTTACCCTATTCTCAGAAACTGACTTTTCACCTGTTTCCCAACTCCCTGAGGAACCCAAGCAAACACTGAGCAGCAGTTTTGCCAGGTGGCATATGCTGGCATTTAAAGGCATACACTGCCCATAGCCCCCTGGGGCAAGGGACGGCAGACGCGACAAGCGGCAGAAAGACCCGAAAGCCTGAGAAGGAACAAGCTGAAGAGAAAGATCCCTGGAGGAATGAGGGCTTGGACAGGCCATCACATGTACTGGGAAGTACAGAGTTCATGGCCAGGACAGGACGTGGGAAGACCCCAGACTCCCACTCTGATTGTCTTTGGGCTCTATGGAGGCGGGAAGTAAAGGCGATGGCGATGTTTGAGTTGTTGGCAGCCTGGCTTAGTTTTGAGAAGTGTACCATCTCAGAGCTAACCTGAAAAACCTAGAAAAGTTGTGAGTGTGTGTGCCTGTGTCTGTGTGTGTGTGTCTCTGTGTGTGTGTGTGTGTTTCTTTTTGGCTTTGGCTGTCTGAGGAAATCTGTCAAGTCACTGGCTGGCCAATCATACAGCAGAACAAAGACTTAGTGACTGCACATGACGAGGAGTAACACCGTGCTCCATAGTGAAAGACAAAGTTTTCCCTCTGAGGTTGGAAACAAGATAAGGATGCCCACTCTCACCACTGCTACTGAAGATTCTGCTGGAAGTTTTAGCCAGAGCAAACAAACAAGAAAAAAAAAAAGAATGCATCCAGATTGGAAGCAAAGTAGTAAAATTGTCTCTTCACTAATGGCATGATCCAATATGTAGAAAATCTCAAAGAATACACATACACAGAAATACTACTAGAACTGCTAAACAAATTTAGCAAAGTTGCAGGGTACAAGCTCAAGACAGAGATATCAACTTGTATCTATATGCTAGCAACGAACAATGCAAAATAAATTGAAATAATCTCATTTGCAGTAGCATCCCAAAGAATAAGCTGCCTAGGAATACATTTAAACAAGAGGGTGAAAGACTGGTACACTGGAAACTACAAATACTCCTGAAAGAATTTCAGGACCTACATAAATGAAAAGGCATTCAATATTCATATAT